TTCACGGCCTTGAACATCAAGACGCGTCCGTGAACTGTGAGCAAAACACGTCGCTTCACTTCTAGTCTTCACGGTCCATTGGCCCAGTTCACGGTCTTAGCGATCATGAACTGCCTTGGCGTCAGTAACCTCTGAAACCTCTCTGGACGCTTCGCGGTTCTCGGTTTGTGGTTCCACTTCACGGTCCTGGCGACCGTGAACTCGAAAGACTGACCGTGAACTGTGGCTGAAAACTCCTCTTTGCCCGGTCCTTGCTCCTTTTCTTCCAACTTTCAACTTCGGGGTTGGTTTCACCTGTTAGACTCTGAAACACATTGAAACACAAGAAACCTAGCGTAAAACGACCCTTTTTGGAGCTCAATTGCCACAAACGTCAAAGAGAAACGAGGCTAAAAAGTGTACAATTAGGCCCGAATCAACTTATGTTTGACGGGTTTAAGAGAACGATACGAACCAAGGCGAGTACTCATATGATTGAAAGCACCAAAATCAATAAGCCAATGACGGGATTTACCTGAGGAAGTACCAGTGGAGAAGGCAGTACTCATCACCTCCTGCAAAGCCTCATGAAGAAGCTTAGTGAGGTTAGCCTTGGAAACACCACCAGCCACCACGGCAGCCTCAGAAGCAAACACAAGATTTACGTGGTTTCCCTGAGAATCAGGACTAGTCCACGGGAGAGGTAGAACACTCCAGAGTCAATCGTATTAGCTTAACCATTCTAGTACATACAAGGAGGAATATATATGTCTGCTGCGGGTTCATCAAAACCCTAACTTACCTAGTTTAGCGACCTAGGGATAATCACAATAAGCCACCTAAACTAAGTATAATCACATATTTCAACATATACAACGATTTTACGGCGGCTAAAAAGATATCAAGTGCATTTGTCATAATTATTGTGGCATACAAGAAAAGAGAAAGAACGAATAATTATGATGCAACATGCGTTCACGTTCCGTACCACATTTCAAAAATAGGCGAAGATGACATCGGAATGATCGGCTAAACAAAGGCTAGGACTATCCGAGTCCGACTCAAAGCGACGGATGAGATTTGAGTTAGGTTTTCATGAAATTAAAACATTTTTGAAGCAACTAGAAAATTTAGTTTAGAAAAAAGGTTTGAATTTGTAACTACTAAACAAACTATTCTATAACATTTATTACTATCCATTGACTAAACCTTGATAAACCAAAAAATTATTCCCAACGTAACGTTTAAGCTTCAGCCTTCATGGGCTTCGCTGCCAAATGTCTGAATTCCATTCCCTGCTGAATATCCTTCACTTCTGAAATGGAGCAAGAGTTTACTACTTTACCTTGCTTAATGCTTACTGTTTTCCTATATATTAACGTCTTATGCTCTATACTTTAAAATAATTCTTTTTTAAGAAAATGGAAAGAAGAGAGAGAACTCAATGGAATCTTGTACGAAAAGAGAGCTTGATCTAACGATCCCATCGTTGATTCTCGGCTTACAGATTCTAGAGTAAAAAAATTTTTCCCCCTGTTGAATCTAGAGTAGAATTTACCTTTCCTGCAACCACACTTTTGATAGCATATTAAAAAAAAAAAAAAAACGAATCTAGTATTAGGTCAAGGGTTCGTGAGAAAGATCCAAAATCTGAAGTGGGAAGGGATCGAGTTATAGCATTAAATTTGGTGATGCATATGTATGAATTTTTTATTTTCTCAGGTGGATAGCGACTTATTGGTATCTGTCTCGTCCCTTTCAATCCTACTCTACTCTGCTTTACCACATCACAGTCTCGCAGCAGTAGTTAATTGCCAATAAATATAGTCACTAACTCACTATTATGTTAGCCTCCTTACGGTACATAAAGTTACTTATAAAATACATATGAGTATTTTACTTATCTTTGAACTAATGGTACATTTAATATGTAGAATTTGATAACGCGGAAGGAAAAGAACACACGAGACAAGAGATTTTACGTGGTATCCTCGTTTTTTATTGAACGAGACTAGTCTACGGTAAGCTCGGAAGAGCTCATGTCTGACGTTTTATTATTTATGACTACATCTTGACAGCTTGCTTACGGCATGACCGTAGCTAAGCCTTATATAGAGAAAGACTTAGGGTTTAAAACCCTAACGAGAAGAACTGAATACGGCCAATTGCAAGGGCGGAGGCCCAACAAGACCCTGGCCAATTTTTATACCTTCTACAACTAGGACAAGGCCCAACAAGACCCAAAAATCACACCGTTTGAATAACCGCAACATACTAGTACGTTAATAGTTATAAAAAAATATAAAATTAATTGTTTTAAAAATATATTAATATAAATATTAGTCAATTTAATTCATTAAATATGAATATTAAACGTGTTATACTGGTTTTATACATTTTTAGTACGGAAGTCATCAAATGAAGAAAAAGAAATGAAATGGTTTGACAATAATAGTGATATAGAAGTTTTAAACAAATAAATTACTTACGAAGAAGTGCTTACTAACTATGGATCAAAGTTTAATTGATGTTTTTGATATAGTTTTACCAATCCTGTCGTTAACTGATATTTTATTTTATGGGTACGTATCATGTCTTTAAAATGATGATTTGACCCCATTGGATTGACATTGTTGGACACGAGTCACACGACCACATGGAATGTAATGTTCACAAATAGTCGAGGAATTAATATGGAGATACATTATGAAATTTCTATTAGTTTAAAGGTGGATGAAGAAGAACTTGTCTGGCAGACGGTTACTTAGGGCTAAATGGGCGTTGGGTCGTGCTTGGGCCGGCACGGCACGGGTACGCTTCGGGCCCATTTATTTCGTGTCGTGCTTGGCACGGCCCGTCAGTTTTCGTGTCGTGCCAACTTTGCTAGGCCCGGCCCAGGCCCGGGCACAGTTCGAATCGTGTCGTGCCTATTCGTGCTTGTGCCATGCTCGTATTGGTGTTTAATGAAAATGACGAAAACAAAAGAGAGAATAAATAAGAAGGTGAAAATTGGACCAGGGAAGATAGTATTAACCAATAATGTTTGAGAAAAGTAACAAATAGGGGAGAAAAGAAAATTGAAAGTATAGCGAGTGTGATTTGGCTTTGTTTAATTCTTTGTCCATTTTTACTTATATTAGTAATTACATATATATCTTTATGACACTTCTAACAACAACAAATAATTATTTTTCTACTTGTGTTTTGTAATATTTGAACCTATAATTATTTTTATACTTATTTGCTATCAACTAAATATTATTTTCGTGCCATGTCCGTTCTTACACTCAATAAAGTCTCGAAAATATTAGGCCCGACACAGCCCACTTATATACTGTGTCGTGCCCGTGCTCGTGCTCATGAAGTTTAGACCCGGCACGGCCTATAAATTATTCGTACTCGTGCCGGACTGACCCATTTATTTCGTGCTCGTGCCGTGCTCTAACCGTGCCGTGCTAGCCCGTGGGCGACACGGCCCGATGCCCACGTACAACTACAGCTATGCGGGTAGTCGAGCAACTGAAACTTTTCGGTTCGGTTATGCGGTTAACCGAGTAGACTACAACCGTCTAACAACCCCTACTTATGATACGAGCAGGGTGTTCCTAATTTATGCACCCACACCGGAAAGTAAACACCTTAAATTTCGAGGACTCCAAAGTCCAAATCAATACTTGCTCATACATAAAAGCCAATTGACTTCAATGATCGATCCTCTCTATACTATGGTTCATGAAACTGTATCGAATATCGTATCGAAAAAGTCAACGGTATGATATTTTATGATAAAACCGTAGTTTAACCGTAGTTCAACCGTTAGACCGTTACATACCGCCTACCGGTTTAGCCTCCAATACTAATATTTCGTGGTTGAACCGCCGGTACGGTACGATTTCATGGACAAGCCGTAGTAATTTGTTGTAACCATGGAGTACAGATTTGGCAGAATAATGCTAGCGGCTGCATGTGTTGAGAGAGCAGAGTAGTATATGATCGATACGAACGAGCCCAACCAAGAAAATAATGGTATGTATGCCTTTTGGACGAAGTGGGCACCGATAATATGAATGCAATAATGAACTCTCCCGCGGCCTATACAATAAGCCCACAAGCTTTGGACTATAGATATCAGCTTATAATTCAACTCATAGCTAGAGTAGTGTCATCTTGTCACGTGTCTGTCGAACATATGCATTATAGTTTTCCAGTTACGTTAATGAACATACATGCATTATCTTCATCATGATAATGTGTCTCAGAAAGTGTCGACCGTTGAGCCGCCATATTATGCCACATATATAATTCTGCCTCTGCCTCTGCCTCCTAGCTTTCAGACCACCAAACAACACATTTATCCGCTCAATGGTTAAGCGTACCATTCACTTGTGTTCAAAGTCGAAACTGAGTTCCACATCTCACCCTTCATAATCATATTTATTCAAGTAAAGTAATCACTGCCATATGGTATATCATGATACTCTTAGTAATGTGGTCGTTAGATGTAATTCGTTGTATTTTAATCGAGATTCGCGATTTTCCATAAATGGTAGGATATAATATCATACTTCATATTCAGTTTAACTTATGAGTTACATAGAATTATCTCACTAGAAATAATCGGAGTATCGTAATTTTATTATTATTATTATCACCAACAACTTGAAGGACAATGCTCGGTTTCCTTTACATGATTGATCACTTGTTTATAGGAGTTGCATGAAACATTAGCGATATGTCCCCGTATTTTCTCTGGACTAATGAAGGTCACAGTTAATATGAGAATTTACATAGCGAATTAATAAATTGATTGAGGTTTTATGTAATATTGTCTACTGTCTATCGACTGATATGATGTTATTCTCGAGAGATTGGATTCTATTCACCAAACTTAGATCATCGATCCTTCCTTCAGTCCTACTACTATTCATTGGGATAATCAAGTGTCTTTATTTGTATTACAATCAATGTGATCTTTCATAAACACTTTAAATAGTGTACACTTTATTTGTGAATGTAACACTTTTAATGAAATTAATTTATTACAGTATAAATTAATTTATGTCTGAAAAAAATCCTCATAATTTCAACTTCTAGCTCCGCCACTAATTTTAACCTTTGTCTTACAATATAAAGTACAAACTAGTTAGTAAGACTAAGAGCAGTTGAGGAATTTTTTCTCAAGGGAAAAAACCTAAGCAATAGGCTGCAAGGAAGATAAATCGAACTGTCGACCATCCTTTCACCATACCATATACTTCCACCATTCAGCTAGAAGCCGTACGTTTTATGTTTACAGTTTCACATCTTATTTATCTATTGTAGTATCTAATAGCTTAGCAAAAATATGAAAAACACGTTAAGCATCACTGTAAAATATCAATGAAAATTATATCATGTTTTCTTCTTCTTCTGTTGGCTTCACGTACCTTAACAAAATTTACGACTTGTCTACACTGTGGTGCATTATAACTTCCTTGGGCTCCGTGGCCGAGTTGGGCTTAGTCATTAGGGATATATTGTTAGTTAATTATTGAGTTATTTAAAGTTATTCGTATTAGTTTATTGTTACTGGAAGTTATTAGTTTAGCTAGTTAGAGTGGGATAAGGTTAGCTATTAGGTTTTCTTGTGTTTCCCTATAAATATGTACTTTGTGGTTCAGTTATGAATAAGAAGAAGATTATTCCAATAATTATATCGTAGTTGTTTAGGAGTAGAAGTAAAGTAATTTAGCGATTCACGACGCGTGAATTCTATCACGCGCCACACTGACTAGGGATGACCATAACTAGCCCCCATATATATCGATCGGTTAACAACCTTATCAAGTGATATGGGTTGGGTATTCTTCATAAGTTTGAGTCAACCCCAAAATAAATCCAATAGCTGGGTTTCGATCTTTCCTTGAATCCATTTCAATAGTGTTGTTCGATCCAAAATATCAAATACAAAATCATTTTGAAAAAAGATCTAAGGAGAGTTAACCCATTGCGGTCATTAGGGTTTAGGACCCATGCATATCCGGCCAGGCCGCGCCACTCTCTATTTTGTTTCTGTCCCCTACTCCCCTAGTTACATACATAGATGGTGGTGGCCAAGAAGCCTGCAGCTAGCTAGCTGTAGAAAGATGGAAGGATGCGGCCAGCTGCAGCCTCTGATCATCTCTTCCATCTCCTCCTTTTTCCACCTGTGGTGGTGCATATACATATCATGCCCACTAAAACACAGAAAGCAAGGCTGGTATTGCTTTGCTGCGCGCTGCGGTGCTGCATAACGCTGCGAGGTGGCAGAGCGATTCCAGAAGTTAGTGAACGTGGACATAACATTTACACACATCTATCGATGACCCTTTATGTATATACAGTGTCCCTCTACAGTGGTTCGTTCATATATGTATATTAGACGCAGTATATACAACTGTAGGGTTATTAGGCAGAATGAGAGAGAGAGAGAGGATAGCAGAGAAGTCAGAAGAGCCAATTCAGGCTTTTTGTTTTCTATCGATCTTCTGATCAGTTTGTCAGTGTGTATCTGCACCAAGAAAAGGAAAACAGTAGGGGAGGTCGATATTTGGCAAAAACCCAAATGCCTATGCGGAGCCATCAGCCATTTTTTTCTTCTTGTTTTAATTGGTCACCATGTTGTTCTTGACTTAGGTTGTATAATGTCGACCTCAGAGTTCATCCGAGAGAAAGATTTAATTAATTAGATCGGGCCTTAACTTAATGAACCCTGTTTGAGCCTAACTGAGAGTAGGAGTGAGACTCGGGAAAGAGGGGAGAGAAAAGCAAGCAAGGTGAATATCCAATCTGTCAATGGCTGGAAGTTTGGAGAGTATAGGAATGAGAGAAAGAGGTTTCTAGTGAGAGAAGTGGTTGTATATTAGTGAGAGAGTCAAAAATCCGATCCCTCTACTTACCGTAGTAAATGCCCTTTTATAGTACATTACAGCGAGTGGATATTTAATGCGACAAGACCATTACGTGTGTCAGAAGCTTAGGTCATGCTTTAGGCCATGCTTTAGGTCATAATTATTCCTAGGACCAGAACTAGGACGTGACCCTTCCTTCGTAGGCTGCGGCACCGTTTTCCTGGCTCTCTTCCCCAATTCGGATTAACCGAAACGACGACGGCTTGGGCAGGACCAAAACGACGCTGGTTTTGGTGAAGTGAAACGACGTCGGCTTGGTGAAGCGAAACGACGTCGGCCTGGTTTAGGCGAAATAGCGCCGCCTGGTGAACCGAAACGACGTCGGCTTCAATCATTCGCGGTCGTGGCTTTACTCGCGGGAGGTACACTCGGCCATCTTACTCGCGCGACTGGATCCGAGCTATATCCCCAACAAACCCTTTTTTCTGGCACAAAAAGACCGGCACGAAAAACTTAGCTAGGAAGAGATTTTGAATGGCAAAAATTAACTCTAGTACTTCACCAATTAAAGTGAGGTGATCAATCTCTTGCAGTTAGTAAGGGTGCGCAACAGTGTGGTCCATGCCAGATCGTAATAAATTGAAATGGCGTTTGGATCGGACCATACTGATATAATTAGGGGTGCGCAACGGTTCGGTCCTGTCCGGAATGAACCAAACTCATGCGAACCGCGGTAGTGAAAGACATCTATTTAACACTAACAACCGGATCATCATTGCATTCGGTTCATTAATTTGGTCCGGTTCGGTCCGGTCAAAATATCAGTTTGGTTCGTCATTTCTTGTGCAATTGTAAAATTCATGCGAACCAAGGACCGGGCCGCATTATACTTGGTCTGGTGTGGTTAGATCCGGTACGGACCGGACCATTGCACACCCTCTAGATATAATGTAGTCCGGTTCTTAGCTTGATCCAATCAATTTTTATAAAATAGCGATGAAAAATGGACAAAATTGACATTTGGACCGTTCTAAATTGGATCAAATGCAATAATGGTATGATCATTCGTTCTAAACTCTCCTTCATTATTGGACCACGATTTTCATAAATTTGACTGGTCTAAACCGAACCAGACTGTTGCACATCCCGCAAGCTAAGGTAAGTTGGTATGGAAGAAAAGTGAGGAATAGAGGCGAATGAAAATTGAAAAGAACTTACTGGGCACAACTTTGGCATGTGATTTGACTTTGAAATTATGGCATCTGATAATATTGGTCAGTCAGAGTCAAAAGGAAAGGACAAAATTATACTCATTTTCTCTATCTCCATCTATCATAATTCATAACTCATAAGTCTTAACAGCCAGCTATGATGGGCAGTAACCAGGAAGGAAGGGAGAGTCAGGAATAATGAGCCTGGGTTTCACCAAATCCAAATGTAACAGCTACGATTTGCATGAAATTAAGAGCTAACCACATTGAATTAATCTTTTAGTCGTAGTCCTCAATTATCATTGTAATTAATATATGGGCCTCCAACTTGTCTTCTCTTTAGGGAGTTCTTTACGAGTAAATTAATTAATGATTATATGCATTATCAATTAATTAAATATACTTTGCACTAATTATTACTGCCTTGTTCCTCCTTCATGATTCAGTCTTCCCTTAGCTAGCTTCTTTAATCTGTCAAAATTAGAATATGAAGAAAATTTTGGTGGCCCATGCAGGCAGTAGTTTCTTTCTGGCCTTGAATCATGCTTCACAATCAAGTTCTTTGTCCCTTTGTCTCTGACCTCCAATACAAAAAAAAAAAAAAAAAACCACCATAAAGAAGAAGGGGGAAAAGGTTATAAATATCATATCCAAAACTACATCTTATAGTGTACTATATCTTCTTAATTCTTATGCAAAGCCATTTATTTAGCTTATGGTAATTATTTGCTTTCTTTTCTGTCAAAAGCTTAGTAGTAGCTATCTTTTCTGCCACTTTACTGCATGCCTGCTGCAATTAAAACATATCGACCCTTTAAGTTTCTACCTTTTTCCATGATGGTAGATAGTGTTAGCAATATAAATTCTTTTTTTTTAATTATTATATCTAATTGGTTATTGAAACCAATTGATTTTCAAACATGATATTATAGTTTTTGGGTGAGAGCTCTCATGTCTAACTCTTAACCGTAGAGGTGACAAATGGATTGGATTTATGAATTGGTTGATTGGATTGGTAGATCAATGGATCAAAAGGATTAGTGAATTTATGGATGGCTGGAAGGGATGACAATGGGTCGGGTTGGGTCGGGTTTTGCCAAACCCAAACCCATGGGTTTATTCGTAAAAAAACCCCGGGGTAAAACCCACCGGGTTTGAAAAACTCAAAACCAACCCAACCCGCTCGGTATCCGTGGGTTCATGGGTACCCACAGGTTTTTGTCGTAAAAACTTTACAATAACAAGCTCCTATCAAAATTAAAGTCAAATATCAATCTCTCAATACAAATTATCCATATATAAAACACCATTCTAGAAAATTCAAGCAAATCACAAATTAACTATACATATTGTTCAACACCAATCTAGAAAACTCAAGAAAATTGAAGCAAATCACAAATTATCCATAAATAACATGATTAATTGAAAATTTCTTCCTTTCAATTAAGTTTCTTCACTTTCCACTCTGTAACATCAACTTCATTCTACACAATTTGAAAGAAAAAATTAGACATATCTCCACAAACATAAATAAGATTAGTTGTTTAGAATATTAAATATACCGAGAAAATTAACTATATGGGTGTGAGCGGGTACCCATGTTCGGGTTTACCTAAACCCAAACCCAACCCGGTGAATAGTGAACGGGTTTAAACCCAAACCCGGCCAAAACCCGTCAACACATATTTTACCCGCGTTGACCAGGTTGGGTCGGGTGGGTACTAGTGGGTTCAGGTTTTGTTGCCATCCCTAGGGTGGACTAATCCATGAATCCAAATGACATTCAACCCTTGGATCAATATATAAATTTTGCGAAGTTTAGGTACTAAAATGCCATAACAAAAAATTACAGGTACCAAAACATAATTTTTCAATGATATTTTTCGTATAAAAATGTAGGTACCAAATTGTAAATATAGATACTAAAATATAATTTGTCAATTATCTATAAATCCACTAATCCAATTGGATTTGGATCAAATGAATTGAATTGAATTAAAATTGATTGGATTAGTTGGATATTTACGTACTTGGATTAGTTGGATTTAGAGTTGGAGGTTCGGTTATCAGTTGATGGTTAGTCGGCCGGTTAAAACGATAACCGGCGGTTACTGGTTAACCGACTAACCAAAAATTACGTTCTCGAGCGATGTTCGGTAGGGGAGTTAGATGTGGTGGTTAACCGGTTAACCGACTAACCGGCCCACCCCTAAATCCCTAATCGAAGCCACCCTCCCACCCCTCCCCTTCTCTTCTCTGCATCGCGACGTGAAGATAACTCTTTGCCACCGCCCGCCTGCCCTGACTCCTTTCTCCCTGCCTGAACCATTCAGGCTGAACGGCAAATGCCAACGGCGAATCTCCCCGACCCGCGCCCGGAGCCTGCTGCTCCGCCATTTCCCTCCATGACCCTCGTCGGGCGCCCCTGCTGCTCCGCCATCTCCTCCCCGAGACCCCAACCAGTCCACGAGCAGCCAGCAGCCGCCGTTACTCCGCCGAGCCAACTATGTCATTGCGGTTAACTCGATTAACCGAATAACTAACCGATAACCGACCGGTCGGTTGTCGGATAACCGATGGTCTCCGTCGGGTGGTTGGCGGTAGGCGTGTTTGGCGTCGCGGTTAACCGGTAGCTGACATTTCGGTTATCGATTATAACCGAGATAACCGAAAATCCAGCCCTAGTTGGATTTGGTCCTAGTGGAATGAAAGAGATGTGTTAAAAATGTTCCTCTCCATTACTCTCTCTATCATTTACTATATCTTGTCTGGTAATTTACTTTAGCCTAATTAAGCATGACACTTGGCAAGGGAAACAAATTAATCAAAATGACCCCACGATTATTTCTGTTCTAAGCATAACAGCACTGCCCATCAATGTTAATGAGAACAAAAGGGTCATAATCCTCCCTGTTTGGATCGCCAGAAAGTGATGAGAAAGGGAACAGAGAGAAAAATCAACCGAGTGAGCTCGACAGAGTAAGTAAATGATGATGATGATCTCTCACATTAATGTGCAGGCCAGGTTCAATTTTTTTATGTATGTTCTTTTCTCTTTGGATAGTATAGAACCAGAGAAAGAGAGAGACAGAACACTGTTACAGCCTTTTGCATTATTGTCTTCCTTCCCTCAATAATACAGCAAAATGTACCACTGGAACAACAAGGAGGGCCATCACCATGGGAGAGCTTATTATGTGCTGGAAGTGAAAGAAAATGGAAAAAGAAAACAGTATAACGTATATATAACAATGTTTAAGAAACCCAACCGTATCGGTCAGTTACCAAACTCAAAACGATAAACGATTTGAGCAGTAAGAAACAGTTGAATCATAATTTTCGTACAAAGTATCTTATTACTGACTTTTTCGGTATAATCTCCTTTGATTTTACAATCCTTAGTGATATAGCTATTGATCATCATCATTAGCTGTCTGGTCTCTGGATGGATATTTGCTGATATAATACCCAAATCTTAACAGAGGCTTTTATTGATATCTACCACGCCAGCCACCTAGTGTATTATGAACTCAATGAACAGCAATGCAAATGACCAGAATGCCCTTGTTCATTTCTCAGATTTGGGAAAGATCGAGCTGGATCCAGGAAAGGACAAGGGACTGGTTCGAGGGGCATGTTAGTAAAAACAGAGCAATGGATATTCAGCAGTCACATGGGGTAGAAATTTTACTCTCATGTGCCCACATGGTTTAGGGCTCTTTCCATGTTCATGCAGATTACTGCAGAGATTGTTCAATACAATAAAACAGGACAGCGATTATCCTTGACTGAATCAATGCTTTAAGTATGGATTAATAATGATTTAACTCTCAAACTACATATGGTCGAGAATGTGACTTGTGTATCCAATGTGTCATGAATCTCATGATCACATTTAGTTCCATTTCCAACATTAATAAGATAGCTGCTCATCATATGAAAAGAGGGTTGTTCATGACAATGACTCATGAGTCAAAAGACCGTAGAAAAAGAAAAGAGAGTTACTTCCTTATTTGAAATTATGTCGCATATCGGGAAGGGAATAGAGTCGCGGACTGGCTCTCGAAGCACAGTCTCGTCTATCCCTACGGTATGTATGAGTTAGCGAACCCACCCCCAGGAATTTCTTCGATTCTCAGAGCTGATGTTATGGGCGTCACTAGCACCCGTAGGGTGGTTGCCACTTCTCCCTCTACTCCTTCCTTTACCTCCATGTAACCTTCTGTCTTCTTGACCCTGGCCTCCCTCTTATGCCAAAAAAAAAAAAAAAAAAAAACTTTGGATCTATTTTGTGTTTAAATTCGATTCATGGTATTACTATTAAGAATTGTACAAAAAAATCATCAGTCTAAAGAGAAAATGTTTTGAGAAAAATATCGATATGAAGTTATGGAGTATTTCTAATGTCTAAGAAAAATCATCAGTTTGGTATTTTATCAAGTTATTGTACTAAGTTGGTTCGAAACGTGTGGGAAATAATAGTTTTGACTTAGAGATTTTGTTTTAAGTCCTGCCAAATTTCATTATTAACACTTCAATAAAGCACGAAGTATAATGAATTTGTACGAACTCCAAATTAGGATGGACACCTGGACGAGTTACTCGTGGATTTAGGCCGACCCACTTGCAACTTACCCAAAATTTGATAAGCGTGTGGGTCGGTGAGTTGGGTCACAGGTAAAGCCCAGGAGCACTTGACGGTTCGTGGTTAGATGACGGGGACATTTTTGCAGGTCACCTTCGAAACTCGATCTTGGCATGAAAAGTGAGAAACATATTGTGACTTCTTCCATCTCTCTTTCACCCCTCAATCTCTAACTAATTTTGTCCCGGCTCGTTGGCCGGATTGTTTTAATTTACTAATATGGAATGGGGGAGAGAGCTAGAGCAGAAAAACAGTTATTTGGGTCGAACCCACAATTTGAATCTATTTGAGTCCATATGATTATACCTATAAAGAAATATCGACCATCTATCTATTCGCATTAAACCAATTCACACCTTCATTATCGGGGTTTCCACATCTATGTTTGTTATACAAAAAAATTGTAAAACTTACATTAGAGTTGATATTCATTTTTTTATTGGTAGCCAATGTAATAAGCCTAATTTAGACTCAAACTAAATAATCGTTTATTTGTATGACCTTCAAGTGATATTACCAAAAAAAAAATTTTGGTGAAAATTACCAAATATGATTTGACTGGCAATAAATTAGATTTGGAAATATATTTTTTTTTTTTTTGCAATTCATAGTGGAGGGAAACATATTGTGACTTCTTCCATCTCTCTTTCACCCCTCAATCTCTAATTCACCTTCTTTCCTTTTGGGTTTCCTCTACCCAAATCATGCAACCAAATTCCCAAATCAAATCACCTTCAATTCAACATAATCATTAGTTCCTTTCATCAATTGATTTCTTTCCTTTGGTCCTCAAAATTGTTCACCCGATAATCTTCTCTCCCTCCACATAAAACTATTCAATATACGATCTCAATCGAGTTTCATAATGATTTCAATAATCTTGCTCCTCTTTCCAACCTCTTTCCTAGATAATCCGCGCTAATCACGTATGTAACGGGTCATCACTATCTCACCCCAAGTCCATACATTTACAACATATCCTAATTTCGCTCCCACTTTGAAGCTATAAACGTAAGTTGATTCCACTCTAATAATGAAAGAGAAAATTTTTACTGACAAAAAAAACCTTGTAAATCTTACAGATTGTATTTTGCGAGTTAACTCAGCCGATCCAACCGTGACACACCTAATCCGCCCAACCCAAACCCACACAAGCTAATATGGGAGATAACCTTAGGCTTCGAACTTCGAAGTTAACATTGTAGTGGAGGGGTAAGTTGTTAAATGGTAACTTGGTAAAGCCCACCAACCACCCAACCTTAATAAAGCCTTGCATTGCTAGATTCAAATGTAGGAGCGAATCCCGTGGTGGAAGTAAGTAGGAAAAGCCAACTCTACAAGGTGAAGGCTAGAAGCCTAGAACTAGATAATCAATAATCATACTAGGGAGTAGAGAGAGAGATGGCCGGTTAAGTAGCTCCCAAGGTGTCACCATGTGATGTTCCCCATATTCTAAAACCGCCACTTTTAATTAATTAGCATCACTTGTTAGGGTATCTCTAGACCACCTTAGTTTTCTTTAATCTCACCGCCCACACCCTTAATCACAACATTACTACTTCCCCCCACCCCCAACTTAAGAGATGAACAAAAACATAAGAGAGAGAGAAAAAATTGAGGATCAAAATTTTATTTGATTTATTTTCAATTTTAGCCCTCGTATGAAGTTGTGTATTAGTTTCCAGTCCGATTGTTGAAAATTTGGTCGAAATCAGTGGTGATTGGACTCTGATCCTTACTTAGTCGTTCTTGATGATTCGAAGGTTACAAAAGCTTAAAATGTAGGCTTACAAACAACCGGTAATAAATTCACTTGATTTTTCTATTCTCATGATGTTGCGTTGTTTTGAGGGTTAATCATCATATGCGCAGTCGAGGGTCGAAATATGAATGTACAATATACAGACAGGTTAGTAAGGAAATGTAGAATAGACACATGTACGTTGCCCTATTAACAAATTTTAATAAAATGATTGCATACAAATTAACAATGGCAGATCCAAAAATCTTAGTGAAGAACGCCCGTAGAGATGAAGCTCGGGCTCAGCGTACTTGAATCATGATAATCTTGTAGGTGGCAATGTCTTATGGACTATTCTATTCCACAAATTCATAGATAGTTAATTTTACATGTATATTAACTCTAGTTTAGAAGTTTATCCTTGTCATAACGTGATGAGTGTGATACTTTCGTCATACCCTAACATAAAGATAAGTTCACTATGTGTAAAACCAAGGTAGTATGGGTACTAGAGAGTTTTTTTTTTTTTTTTTTTTTTTGAAAAATAGGGTACTAGAGAGTCATTAGTCACTTTTATGTACTTTAAATCCTCAATAAAGGGTTTTTATTTTTTTCATTATAATATTATGATCAATAAAGGCACTCTCTGTCTCTCTTGTCTCTCATCTCTTTCATTTTATTTTAAAAATTTCCCCCTCTATTTGCTTTATATACTTCCAAAGTCCAATGCACCCAGCTCTCCTCTCCAAACCCCACTTCTCACTTCTTCCCACTCTACTCTCCAAAAACACCCATCCCCTCCTTCCTTCCTTCCTTCACCTCAATCAAAATATTTCCCAGAAAAGAAAAAAAAATTACTGAAATGGTTTCTCTGGAAACAGTCCAACCAGTAACGAACAGATCCACCGCCATGGATAATCAAACGACATCAAGCCCCAGAATCTCATTCTCCGCCGAGTTCCTCGACGAGAACAATTTCATCTCCATCAGCCCCAACCACCACCACCGCCCCAACAACGAATCAGAAAATCAGAAGCCTCCGCTATCGCCGTCTCCAATTCGAACCGCCGCCTCCGCCGCCGCGGATCTTCAATTCGAGTTCCTATCCAACAGCGGGCCGACGGCGGGGCACTCCAAGATGCTGACGGCAGACGAGCTCTTCTTCGAAGGCAAGCTCCTCCCGTTCTGGCAAATGCAGCAGTCGGAGAGGCTCAACAAAATCAGCCTCAAATGCCACGAGGACGCCGAGAATCCGGCGGTGGCGAGGGCGGGCAAGGAGGACGCGCCGCCGACCCCGACGGCGACGAGGGCGGTGAACTGGTTCGTGGACGACGATCCGTCGCCGCGGCCGCCGAAATGCACGGTCCTGTGGAAGGAGCTGCTGAGGCTGAAGAAGCAGAGGCCGGCGTCATCGCTCTCGCCTTCTTCGTCTTCCTCCTCCACTTCGTCGTCTTCCAGCTCGCTCGCCGACGCCGCCGTCGCGGCGGCCGAGGAGAAGAAGGAAGGCAAGAGCGGTCGTTCTGATTGTAATAACAAAAAAATTAGCAGCAAAGAGGGGAGTAATAATAACAATCAGGTGAAGAGGGCGGCGAAGAAAGGGCTGGAGAGGACGAGATCGGCGAGCATTCGGATTCGGCCGATGATTAATGTCCCGATTTGCAGCCAGATGAAGAGCACGGCTCACAGCAGCGCATTGCCGCCATTCTTCCCGATTAAGAAGAACAGAGTAGTAGAGAGATGAATGCAGAGAGAGAGAGAGAGAGAGAGAGCAAGAGAAATTTCAAATTTGTGTATGGATGGTTGGTTATTGTAGGATTTTGGTTTTGTCCAATAATTTTTAGTTTTTCTTCTCTTTTGGGGGAGTTTGATCCAAATTTGTTTCTATTTTGTCAATTTTATGTGTTTGTGGTGGTTGAAGCTATAGAGTAATGTTTGATGTGGATCTGAGTGTGGGATTAATATAATATAATGTAAATTGCTGACATTTTACTGCAAAATGTTGCCATAGCAAGTTGTTTATTAGACTAACGTTGTTGGATCGTGCTCTTTTTTAAATCAATCGCTTGTTAAGTGTGGTTTCGATGTATAGAAAAATTGTCATCGAATGTAAATGAATCATTCATATCATTCATAAATACAATCCAACGATATCAGCTCAGATACGATACATCGATATCAAATAATCAGCTCATTCTTAGTGCTTAGAAAATGGTAACGTTACTTTTTTTCTTGCTAGGAGGAGAAAGGAAGGGAGTGAGTACAAAATAACAGTGGATGGGAGTGGGGAGAGAAGCGGAAAGTGAGGTGTCATAAGGGCACATGCAAAATTACAGTTGGCCCCGGCTCTGCCTGAGAATCAGGAAGGCCACATGTAAATGTGGGAATCCTCCTCTTTGGAGCTATTGAATATTGCATTTCCCTAATGCAGCGCATCAATGTTCTCAACATTTTGAAGATTTGAAGATTTCACAGATTCTATTCATAGACGAAGCTCAGAGGATCGCAAAGACTAAAATCATTACTATTTAGAGCTGGTAATCGACAGATAACCGGTTTAACCCGTAACTAACTAACCAATTAACGATTAACCGAAACATACCAAGTGACTGATGGCTATCGATACCGGGTGACATCTTATTAACCACGGTTACCAGCTCGGTTGTCGGTTTGACTGTTTACTGGTAAACCTGTTTACCATCCCTATTCCTATCACTTCTGTTAGTGATTGTTGGAGCTCGTGGAGCTCACTCAAGGAGTTCAATGTCAAACCAAACCAATAAGAGAACTATAATATTACAGTTTCTTCACGATTTTATAAACTTCGAATCAATCGCAAAGTCCAAGTTCAAAAGACCAAAGAATGACCGTTGTTATGTCTAAGCAGTCTTTTACTCACACGAGGTTGAAAGTATTAGAACAAAAGAATCAGAGTTTTACTGACTGGGAGTCTGACTCGGTGTATATGTATGGACAAAAACCAGGGTAAGTGTACAAACAGTTGAGAGGGTGGCCGACACTGCCAAAAGGTACGCCCAAGAACCTTTGGAACCATGTGCATTTTCTTTCACACATCTGTGAATCATGACCATCGACAACGATCTAGTAGTACTAGTACTGGTACAAACTGCATATTGACAATATAGCTGGAAATCCAGCTTCCATGGTACCGTAGAGAGGCCAGAGGCCTTAATAGTTGTTGTCCTCAAATCACTTTGGCTTCCTGTTTCTGCTCATGGCCCCGACGTGAAATGGTTCCCAGGATTCGTCCTGTTTAAGACATGATAGTTTTTGAGTTTCCCCACCAACGATTAGTTAGCCATAAAAAGCTCGGCTTACCATATCTCGTAAGTTCATCTTTCAGCATTGATATGACTTGTGAGAAAGGGAAGGCTTACCTGAGCTCTAGTCCAGATTTCCCAACGATGCTTGTCGGAACCTCACCAGTGAGATTATTGTTCTGTACAAATCTGGGAGAGAGATGAGATGAGAAAAAAAGTCGAAATCAGTGTACTAGTAGTATGATAAGCTTGCATCTAGATTTGAAGGTGTACTGAGAGTTGAGAACAGCTAGAGGTTCGTTCCGCGACTTTGTACCGACAACTATTGCAAGGGGCCTTCTGTTTTTACCAATTCTAGAAAGAGAGGGCATGTGCAATTTGATTCAACAACATTGAGATCCAGCAGGTCATATTCATCAAGTATGATTGCACTAAACACTTGCAGAAAGAGAGGGAGGAGAGCGCAAAAAACAATAGTACAAGACTCCAAAAGGGCACTAGATCCGTTTGGAGGGTTTCTTTTCATGTATCCCAACATTCATGTTGAAGCTCACATGAGGAATCTGGTTTTGTCTACCAGGAGACGAAGGTATCAAAGGCACACCAACGACAACAAAGAACGACTATTTATTTACACTACAGGACATGTGCGATGACAAGTAACAGAAAGGGTAAGACATCATCATCATTCATCACATCATGTTCATGAAACTACAAAAAGCCACGTGCAAAACCATGTCACTAAGCAGAAAGGACTACGGTGTCTTACAGTTGACGGAGACCATCGATATTGCCAAGTGAAGATGGGATCACTCCAGTCAAATTATTGTCTTCCAAATGCCTGTTCAAAACAGAGAAGTTAGTCTCGAACTTCAGATTTCAAATCACAATGACAGTGAATTCCCCTAAAGGGAGAGGCTTTTGCGGTCTTACAGCGTTTCAAGCAGTCTTAATGAGCTCAGATCAGGTATTGACCCAGATAAACTGTTGTTACCAAGCCAGCTGCACAGGAACAAAACATTACAGTAAGCAAACATATCTCATAAACAGTTCAATCTGCTGAGGTTATTTTAACAAACTTACATGTCTGTTAGTGCAGTCAACCTAGTGATCCTATGGGATATCGATCCACCAAGGCCCATACTTGTCAAATTCCTGAGAATCGAGCATATCAAATCTTTTAGAAACACAAACAATAACAAGACAGCAAAGAGAAACATGTTATTCCCAAACTCACAGTGAAACAACACGAATCCTGCGGCCTTCTGAACAAGTAATTCCAGTCCAAGGATACTGACGAGGCATGCAAGGATCCCCACTCCAGTCCTGTGGTGGGTTCTTGAAACCACTTCTCAATTCTTCCAAAGCTATTACTGAAACAACAATGTAATGAACACAAAAAGAGCTTTTTTCAATCATTGCAATCATTCAGACTTAAAGACCAATCATTCAGAATAAGGTAAAAACAAGCTACGGATGATAACTACATACTGTCTCCCGTATGAGTTCTTCGACCAAGGGGCAACAATCTGAAAACCTCCCCTGCATTAATCAATGGACCAGTGGTCGAACCAGCAGCAGGGATCAAAGTTATATTGGTTGAACCACCGAGAGGCCACACTTTGGCAAAGACAAGGGAACCCATTTGTGTCACACTCAAGCTCCTGAAATATGTTACCCCATTTATGATCACATCAAGCACCCTAGGATCTTGAAGTGAGGGATCACGGTCATCGGCAAAGTACAGAGCAATGGAGTAGTTCTGGTGGGGAAATGGAAGGGGAGCTGGTGGCCATGGCAGCTCCAATACCTGCCTTGAACGTCCTGCTGCAGCAGAGATATCTGTTTCGAATACCTTAGATGGTGGAAGATTCCATATGCCCGAAATGGACACGTTCCTGTTCCTGGAAGGGTTGGAATCCTTCCCTCCATATGGCTCCCAAATCCGATCATATGGGTCGTCTGGATATCTAATTGAAACCCCAAATCGACCAACTGAGTTAAATCGAAAGACGGGAGGAGAAAGAAACAAAGCGATCGAGTTGGCTTCTGGGTTTATAATGGGAAAGAGAGCAAACTCACCGAACGATTTCGCTGTGGCCAAAACTGTGCCTGGCGACCAATCCAAGGGCGTAATTCTCAAAATCGGTGGAGTTGTAGAGCGAATCCCCTAAAGGAATGAATTCAAGGCCCGAAATGAACGGGTCGGAGTCGGTATCCGAATTCGCTCCGAGACACAAGCTCATGGTCTTCCCTCGAGCAACAAAAACCCCCTCGTAGAAAGTCAACCTCCCGTCAGCGAAATCCCCCGTCGTGTTGACAACGCTCCAATGGGTCCCGTCAAGAATCTGGTCGAAAACCGGCGGCGGGGCGTCCCTGCCGTTGACCCATCCGTAGAAGTAGGTGGTCCGGACCATGTACTTGCTGCCCCGATTGACGGCCGTCTCGTAGCAGAACTTGCGGCCGCGATTCCCCGCCAGGGGAAACGATCTGACGGTGGAGAGGAGCGGCGAGAGGACGGGGAGGGCGAGAGTACGGGCAGTCCCAGCCGTGACAAAGCCGTCGTCGGGAAGCCATTCCCGTCCGTTGATCGTCGTCGGTGCGACGGCCCCGCAATCAATTAGAGTACCTGGTTTTGACAAATAAGGAAAACCCACAAAAGGGTAAGCGAAATAGACCTCGGGGGAGAAAGGGAAGAGTTCAATTTCTGATTTTTTTACCTGTCTGAGCGAGGGAAGGAGGAAGAAGGAAGGAGAGCAAAAGGAGGAGGAGCGGAAGAGCTGCTGCCATGGCGGAGACGGCGGAGTGAGATGGAATGGGTCAGCTGGGGAAGTCATGCACTTTAGGAAGGAAAAGGGGGGAAGGAAGAGGTGTTGGCGTGACGCGGGAAAGAGAAGGCGGTGGCCGGGCCGGGTCAGCGGCGGCAGTTGGGGGAAAGGGGGCGATTTCTGAGGTCGCGAGGGTTTGGTCTACTGAATTGTGTTAAACTAATTGCTGTTGGGATTATCTTTTTGGTTTAGATTCTGTTGTCAACAAGTTTTCTTTACTTTTTCTCAACTTTTGTGGCCAAATTGGGTTTACGACGTGCCAAGTTGGCACTCGCTTTGTGCCAGTTGGTTTCGCTAATGCAAAGAACTGGCGGACGGCGTCGGCGGCAAATAAATGATAACTTAATTGAGTTTGACTGAGTATGTAAACTTGTGGATAAAGAATTTGATAAGTCATTAGTAATTTGTTTGGTGAGTTTTGAAAGAAGAAGGTTTTTTAAGGTTAGTTTCCCTTGCAATCCCCTCCATTAACTTGGAGTTATCAATGAGTGGAAACTAAGCTTTTGATTTTTTGGCTATGGTATTTGTTTGTAGCTAGTTGGTGGTAAATGTGGCGGATTTCGCTAAATTGTCTATATTTTTTATTTTCATTCCTAAGTATTTAAAATTATACCCACTTTATATTTATGCGGGGAGATTTGCAACCTTATTCTCATACCTATATTGTATATTTGTGGTTCAACATTTTTATATTTGATAACTATACTTAGAATTCAACATGTGTAGATCTTCAATTATAACACTAGGCAAACCTAATAAATTATGTAATCAACAAAGATACACAACCATTCTCTTTCAAAACATTATGTTTCCTAAGATGTACCCTCGACCAATAACATTAATATTTGGGTACTTCGATATAGACTCACTCGTTAGATCTCTTCAAGAGACACGATCTCTGTGGAGGGGGGAGAGCGACCCTTGTGATCTATTCTCTGACGTCCAAGTTAATACGAGATATGTATAATGGTGTATGTGACTATAAATAGAGTTTAGAGAGATAGCTTGAGTGGTCCAAATGGAGGAAGGGATGAGAAGTCTATTGTTTGGAGACCTTGAGCTCCTTTTAGGGGTTTGGCCTCCCTACAGAGACGCCTTGAGGTGGATTTGGCTCGTCGATGATGTAGCCGTTTGTCGTCTTCGACATATTAATATCACACCCAAATTTGTTGTCTTGTATTCTATAAAAATGAAAGGAGTAAGATAATGCATTAAAGTGTACTAATTGATTTATTTGTGAGTTTGGGCGATGTGTTTATGTGTTTTTGCTCTTTAAGTGAGTTGCGTGACCATGATCTTTGTCCTTTGCTTAGTTTTCAAGGTATTGACTTCAACTCTCAAATCATGCAATTTTATAATAACTGGCCGCGAAGCGTAAACCGCTTTCAGAATAGACCGTAACTAAGACTGGTGACTTATTAGTATTGTTTGGAACAATTTGACCACACCGATTCCGACCCTAAAAAAGATTATTTTTAAAAAAATGGCTGACCCTATTTTTTACATGCCAAATTACCAAAACACCCCTCTCATCTCGTGATCTCCTTCAATCCATTCAAAATCCCCTCACGATACCAATACCGATTTCCGATTAGCCATTTCCTCCTTTTTTGGCTGCTGCGCCTCCGCTTTTGTGCTGCGTAATTGTGTGTATCTGTGCCTCCACGTCGATGGAGCTGCAGAAGCGCCAAGATCAGGGCCTGCCGCAGCGCAAGGGGCAGAAGCGAAAACTGGAGGAGGAAATCAAAGACGAGCAGCCGGGGATCTCGCCGTCGCCGGTCGACTGCTCCGACGCTCGCCGCGCCATCCTCGCAGAGGTAGCTGTCCAGGTCAACATCCTCGACTCCGCCTTCTCTTGGCAAGAAGCAGATCGAGCTGCCGCCAAGCGCGCCACTCACGTCCTTGCTGACCTTGCTAAAAACGGTGAACTCATTTCCCAGACCTTTACTCTCTAGCACTGGATATTCGAGATCCTTCTGCTTGCGTTTCCGATTCTGCATGTTCTTATATGAGTCATTAATTTGTCTAACTTGTGCTTGTTGATTTTGTGTTTCTGGTCCTCTTTCAGATGAGGTAGTGAACGTGATTGTTGAAGGAGGAGCTGTTCCGGCTCTGGTGAAGCATCTTCAAGCACCGCCGTCAACTGAAGTTGATGGGAACTTGAGGCCTTTCGAGCATGAGGTCGAGAAGGGCAGTGCCTTCGCGCTGGGGTTGCTTGCTGTGAAGGTCAATTGATTAACTGATTCTGTTATGCTTGCTAATTTTCCAACCGGATGCTCAATTGATGAACAATATTCCGTATTACTTTCTAGGATCTGCTATTGAACCTCTGGAGGAGTTGATTTGCTAGGGCTTGTTAATTACCTGTAATTCGCGGCGGCTAGGTAGATCATGGTTTCGCAGTTTGAATAGTTTCGTTAGTTGTATTATAGATAATCTGATTTTTGATCCCGACGAAATGATAGTTGTACTTCGGATCTATAGGGAGATTTTGGAGCTAGGCAAATGTTATGCTTAATTGAATTGCTGAAATGTGGGAAGGTAGAATCTCTACCGAGACAATAGATGCCGTTGCTGAATAATATATACTTTGGAGATACAACCTTGATGAAGAGGAAGCTTATAGTTGAAGGTTCTTTGTTTTGTCTTGCTATACACATAATTGCCAATCCTGCTGTTTCTTTCTTATACTTTAGAATCTTATTTTTGATGATATGCTTTGACCTGCAACAGCCAGAGCATCAGCAGCTCATAGTTGACCATGGAGCCTTGCCTCATCTTGTGGACTTGCTGAAGAGGCACACCGAGGGAACCACTCGAGCCGTGACTAGTGTGGTTAGAAGATCTGCTGATGCGATAACCAACCTCGCTCATGAGAACAGCAACATTAAGACTCGTGTTAGGTTTGCTTGTTTTAGGCGTCAACTGAATTTAACTCTGAACTAGGTGTTCTGTTTATCCTCATGATGAGTGGGAGTGGACTTGCAGGAGGGAAGGAGGAATTCCACCTCTTGTCGAGTTGCTAGAATTTGCTGACACAAAAGTGCAACGAGCAGCTGCCGGTGCTTTGCGAACTCTTGCATTTAAAAATGATGAGAACAAAAATCAGGTGATGGATCTTTTGAATAGCTGAACTTTCGGCTAAAGAGAGTCTTGTCTAACAAAGGTGATTCCAATAGTGCAGATAGTTGAATGTAGTGCGCTTCCTACTCTCATTTTAATGCTTCGGTCTGAGGATGCAGCCATACATTATGAAGCGGTATGATATTTATAGTGCCCAGTCTACATGGCTTCTGTAACTTTGTTTGTTTTGGATTCCAATTTATTGCTTATCGAAGTGAATGAATGATACATGCTACAGGTTGGTGTTATTGGGAATCTGGTACATTCCTCCCCAAACATAAAGAAAGAAGTACTTGCTGCGGGGGCTTTGCAACCTGTCATTGGCTTGCTTAGGTGTGTCTAGAGCTGCATATTTAGTAACCTTTCCTTTAAATGGTACTGAGTGGTATTAGGAATAACGGGACTGTTTAACCTTCTTTTATTAGGCTATTCTTATCAACATGTATTTATTTCAATCTTGGTTTTGGTTTCCAAACTTCTAAATCTATTCATTCGAAACAGCTCATGTTGCTCAGAGAGTCAAAGAGAGGCAGCTTTGTTACTTGGCCAATTTGCTGCGACAGATTCAGATTGCAAGGTAGATTATAAGTCAGTTTTCAAGTTGAATTTTTTTTTTATCGAAGTTAAGGTCCAGACAGTTTACTTCTTGTTTCACCATTCAAGATTGATTTTTTTACATGGTAGATAAATCGATGCTATTAATGCTAGGTTACACAATCATATTTTTTTTGGTTTCTACTTTGCGCTTTCATTGCTGTTACTGTTGTCTTTATAACTTGAAAATGTTTGCAGGTTCATATTGTGCAAAGAGGTGCAGTTGGACCATTGATCGAGATGCTCCAATCTTCTGATGTACAGTTGCGGGAAATGTCAGCCTTTGCGTTAGGGAGAGTGGCTCAGGTTTTGACTTGTTAATATGAGTTGTTTCCTTTATTGAAACTGAAGTTCAGACCAATGACGTCAAAGTTATGTAGTTAGACAAGTTTCTGTTTTATGACTAAGTGTGCATCCTGAGCTAATTTCAAGATACAACATGACCTTTTGCATCATGTCATGTTCTTGTTCGTTTGGATTTGTTTTCAACTTTGGGCTTTCTAAAGTGAAATTTCTATAGCTTAATTCCTTTATTCAACAAACCATTTCATGCTTTTGTAGGACCCACACAACCAAGCTGGTATAGCTCACAACGGTGGTTTAGTACCATTACTGAAGCTCCTTGATTCGAAAAATGGGTCGCTGCAACATAATGCAGCATTTGCGTTGTACGGTCTCGCGGATAATGAGGTATTAATTGCTTTTGGTGTCTTGTCATTAAAGAACAAATTTTAGTAGGTTTCAGAATTGTATATCTGTCGATTGAATAATCTCAGCCTCTGTTTCTATGGAACAGGATAATGTCTCTGATTTTATTAGAGTGGGAGGAATCCAGAAGCTTCAGGATGGAGAATTCATTGTCCAAGTAAGGCTTATTGGTTATATATTGTTTCAGTTTGTGAATATTGTGTTTCATAATGGCAGCTCAAGCTGTCCTTTTCCTAGCGTGATATTGGCCTTGTCCCTCTATATTACTTCTTTCACAATAGCTATTTACGTTCATGATATTCTTTGTTTCAGGCAACAAAAGATTGTGTGGCAAAGACATTGAAGAGATTAGAAGAAAAGATTCAAGGACGAGTGTGTTGTCTATTCTAAACCATTTATGCTTTTAACTATTTATAGTTTGATTTTAAGTTCAACTTATGTCATACGAAATTTTCTTATGTAGGTTTTGAAGCATTTGCTATATCTAATGCGAGTAGCTGAGAAGGCAGTTCAACGACGTGTAGCATTGGCTCTGGCTCATCTTTGTGCCCCTGATGATCAGAGACTAATTTTCATAGATAACGGAGGTAAGGAGTATTACAGCTTGCAAGCTTAGCTTGAAAATGGACAATTAATTGTCTTCTCTATTGTGCTTCTATGGTTAGTTTCAGTTGTTACTCTTCTGATGTGTTTTGAATCTTTACGAAGGATTGGAGTTATTGTTGGGGCTTCTTGGTTCTGCAAACATGAAACAACAACTTGATGGAGCTATTGCGCTATACAAGTTGGCCAACAAAGCAATGACACTCTCTCCAGTAGATGCAGCTCCACCTTCTCCAACCCCGCAGGTAGCTTTTGACATATATCTTGTGGTGGTTGTCATTGATGCAATTTTCATGGTACCAAACGTTGTACTTTTTGTGTATTTTTGAACAATATGCTTTGAAATGCAAATATTTTCACATGAAAATGTTATTTTGATTTGTGCCTTGTTAAAATATGATGGTTATTTTTGTCTTATGGCAGGTTTATTTGGGGGAGAAATACGTAAACAACGCTACACTATCTGATGTCACCTTTCTAGTGGAAGGTTGTAACTATATTCTTTATTAAGGCATTGGTACTTGTGTATAATGTTTAGATTATTGTTTTACTGCAAGCTCTGGCAGCAAGTTACATATGAAGTTCTATGGTCTCCTTGCAGGAAGACGGTTCTATGCACACAGAATTTGCTTACTGGCTTCATCAGATGCATTTCGTGCAATGTTTGATGGGGGTTACCGGGTATGTGTGCAGATGCTAGTTTTTTTAAATATATTTCCTCTTATTTCCTTTTCCATAATTCTGACTCGAGGAAGGACAGGAGATTTTTTTTTGTTTAGATCTTGGCATAGAGCATAACTTATACAATCAACTTTCGTATTTGCAATCTGTGCAATACGCATGATTTATTCGATGAATCGTTTTAAATTTTCGTATTTTCTTAAAGATTATAGTTGCTAAGGCATGTGCATGCTATCCTTGGCTTGGAACTCTGGTGAACAATAGTTGATAAGGCAATTTAAAATGATGCCATTTTATTTTCCTGATCAAGTTACATACTTCTATCTTACGCAGGAAAAGGATGCAAGGGATATTGAAATTCCGAACATCAGATGGGAAGTTTTCGAGTTGATGATGAGGTCCAAAACACTAATTCCCAGCTTCAGAAAATGCTTTCTACTGAATTTGAAATGAAAATCTTACATTCTCGCTGTTATTTGTTTATGTCAGATTCATATACACGGGATCCGTAAATGTTGCCCTAGATGTTGCTCAAGATCTACTGCGGGCGGCCGATCAGTATCTCTTGGAGGCTCTAAAGCGACTCTGCGAGTACACAATAGCTCAGGTCAGCTATGATAATCGCCCTCTCTCTGCTTCAAAACTAAAAGAACTGATAAATTAATTTACATCTTCCACCCCATCTGGCATTCCAATTGGTTGTCCAACACTAGCATATGTTTTGGCTGAAGGACATATCTCTGGACAATGTTGCAAGCATGTACGAGCTCTCAGAATCTTTCCATGCTATTTCACTGCGGCACACTTGCATTTTATTCATCTTGGAGCATTTTGATAAATTGAGTGCCAAGCCCAGGTTTGTTTCTCTGGTCAATCACCCCTTGTTCATGTGCTTAAACTCATTAGAACGACATCAGACCAATTTTTTAGGCGCTCATTGAGTCATAAAATTCTGCTGTTGAGTAAATCTGGCAGGCACTCTTATTTGATCCAGCGGATTATACCGGACATACGGAATTACTTTGGGAAGGCACTGACGAAACCCGACCCACATAACTTGCGGCTGTAGATGACGACTGGTCTCAATTTCTTTGATCTCTCTAACTAGGATAAGTTGTACAGAAGTGGTGGATCGATCTTCTTGCTGACGACGAGCTGCCAAATAGGGTTTGGTGTCATCATGACATGGCTCAGAATCATCTCCAGTTTGATGGATAAAAAGAGTGCCTTAGTGTGGCGTGGCGTGTACTCAGCAGAGTGAGCTGTTCAGTAAGTAGAAATCACCTTCTTTCCCTGGGCTGTCTGGGGAATGAATGCATCCCCTTCATGATCATAGCCGGCTTTGTTCTATTTGCTGGGTTGTGTTGGTTATGTACGCGAGTATGTAAGAAGAAACTCTTTGAGCGACGATTCTGTCATTCAAGGAGGTCGTCATCGTTATGTAGCACAATAACAAGGTCTCGTGCACGAAGCATTTGATTCTTTCAACAAGATTACGAGATGACACGAGAAAGAAAGCCAAAGACGAGGGCCTGGAATCTGGATTGTGAAAGTTGATATATTCTTAGTTCTCGAGGAGGTGGACTATAGTGAGTATAGTCCCTCATTTCATCTTTGGTCTCTAGTGCAGGTTTGGTTTGTTGGATTGAATTTGATTTCAGAACGGCTTGGCAAGCTCAAATTGCGCTTGCCTTTGCTCACCTATCATCATCGCCAATGTTATCGATCCACCATACGAAATCTATTGGGTGCTGAAATGGTGGTTATAAGTAGGGGTGGGGAGTGTTTTATGAGAATTTGGGTGGGTTTGCAACTGTCGACTGAGAAAGTAACTCATATCTACCCAGGGATGGCAACAAAACCCGAACCCAAGGGTACCCACCCAACCCAACCCGGTCAACGTGGGTAAAATTCGTGTTGACGGGTTTTGGGCCAGGTTTGGGTTTAAACCCACTACACTATTCATTGGGTTGGGTTGGGTTTGGGTTTAGGTAAACCCGACACATGGGTACCCGCCCAAACACATATAATTAATTTCCCGGTATATTTAATATTCTAAATAATATATTTTTCCTTAAACAATTAATATTCTTTATGTTTGTTGAGACATGTATAATTTGTTCTTTCTAATTGTTTAAAATGAAGTTGATATTATGAAGTGGAGAGTGAAGAAACTTAGTTGACGAGGAAGAAGCTTTCAATTAATCTTTGGGTTAATATTTTCGTATGGCCTGAACTTTGACAAAAATAAACATCCTGACCAATCTTTTCGATCTATAACATCCTGGCCCGAACTATACACCAAAATAAACAATTTGGCCAAACCCGATGTTTGACCGTTAACTTGGAGTCAAACGCGCTGACTAACGGTCAACGCGCCACGGCACTGCTATGTCACTCCCTAGTTAGAAGATCTGATAAATATTTAATTTTTTTCGTTTTTTATTTTTGGTTTAACTAAGGTATTAGATGATTTTTTTAATTTATAATAATTTAAAATTAGGGAATGTGTGGAAATTGTGAATTATTTTAAATATTTTATGCTGACTTGGCAGTAACATGGCGCGTTGACTAAAGGTCAACGCGTTTGACCATCCAGGTTAACGGTCAAAAGTTGGATCTGGCCAAATTGTTTATTTTGGTGTATAGTTCGGGCCAGGATGTTATAGATCGAAAAAATTGGCCAGGATGTTTATTTTGGTCAAAGTTCAAGTCATACGAAAATATTAGCCAGGATGTTTATAGATGTTTATCTTTAATTTTGTACAATTTGTATTGATCATTTTGTGGTTTGCTTGTATGCTCTAGATTTGTGTTTTTTTGTATGATTAATTTGTATAAGAAAATTGATGTTAAACTTTTATTTTGAAAGAAACTTGTTATTGTAAATTTTTTACCACAAAAACCCACGGGTACCCATGAACCCGCGGATACCCAGCGGGTTGGGTTGGGTTTGAGTTTTTCAAACCCAACGGGTTTTACCCCGGGTTTTTTGACGGATAAACCCATGAGTTTAGGTTCGACAAAACCCGCCCCAACCCGACCCATTGCCATCCCTATACCCATGCTTGTACTTGTGGGTTGGAACTTGGGGTGATTGCTGATTGGGGTTGTGGGTTGGGGTGATTGCTGATTGGGGATGATTAGTGGTTGGGTAGGTTTGGTGAGTTTACAATATACATTTTGAACGCAAAATGAAAAAATATCTCCAACTAAAATAGTATGTAATCCATATTAGATGTATAAGTTTGCTTAAATATTACTACTTATAATTGTTCTCAAATCAAAAGAATATTCACCTCATAAACATGATCTAAATCTAATCATAATCAAATAAAAAATAGGTTAATTGTATGGTTGGTCACTGAGATTACAAAAAACGTTCAAGTTTGGTCACTCGAAATATTTAAATCCATTGATGGTACTTCAGTTTACTGAACCCGTTCAAGTTTGGTCACTCTCCGTCACTCTCCGTTAACTTTTGCTGATGTGGCAGTCAATTCTCAAAGTTGACCGTTAACTTAGTGGCGTGGCATTTAAAAAATAATAAATAAAATAAAATTTAATCTATTTTAATGTCCAACTCATTTTTATCATAAAATAAATAAAATAAAAAATTATAATAATTATCAAATTGAAAGGGGCGCTTCCTCCTCGTCGGAGCTCCCAAGCCAGCCCAACAGTGGTGCCAGGAGACCCGAGATTACAAGAGAAAGCGAATACTGGCATAGTTGTTTTTTTCAGGTAATCATCCCACAGCAGTAAGCTCCCTCCTTCCTTCTCCACTTCACTCTTTAGGTAATCATCGTTTTTTCTCCTTTATCAAGAAATGGAATACTGCCCTAGTTGTTTTTTCTTCCCAAGTTTTCTGAACTAGTCTGCTTGAACTAGTTTGGATAGCATCCTCCGCCACTGGGAAACTCTTAGGCGGCATAGCCCTTAGCAACTTCTCTCCTCAACCTATGTTCCCTGATCTGCACTTTATATAATTTGAGCTGTAAACGGACAAAAAAGAGACGTTTTTTTCTCTGCAAAAGATGAGTTGTAAACATTGCCCCCTTCCACTATGTTTCTCATCAGAGAGTGGGAGGAGAGACAGAGAAAGTGATGATCATTTACTATGACATGAATGAAGGTGGTGTGGATCAGGATTGGAAGATAACGGTGAAAAGTGAAAATCGAAGAACTAAAATGAATCATAGCTAGGCGATGGATCTCACCTTGTAACCCTCAGCAGTGTCATATCCAACAATTACATCATTCATCTTCTCTGCATGCAAACCCAGATTTTGATTCAAGGAAAACACGCACACAAACTAAGTAGGATAGAAGTAGCCAGGAAAGATGTACAAGAAGATATCAAAATCAGAGAAGTTGGGTAGCTAACCGTATTTGTCCAGGACGATAAAAGACATCATATGGGCGCCATAGTTGGTGACCTTGAGAGACATCTTCCCTCTTTCTTGAGCTCAGAACTCCCGATCTTAGTTTCCCCATCACCAGCACCAAAAGCCACTACCAGAAGCACGCTCAAACTCAAACCGAGGAGCAGCAGAGAAGAACAGTATTTGGCCGTGGTTACCACTCTGTTTTTGCTTCTAGGCAAGTCTCCCTTCTCCTCCGGGTAGGATCCCATCCTTAAGTTTGAGGGTAGGATCCCATCCTTAAGCCTCAAACTTAAGAAGTTGCTTAAGGTTTGGCTGGCCAATAGGAAGAGGAGAGAGAAGGAAGGAATCTTTTTTTTTGGGTAGAAACACGGGACGCTTAAAGGGCGTCCCAACCTTTATACTGGAATAGACCGGGGTGTTTGGACCCCAATACAGTCATGGTACAGCCAATACGCTAACGTACCGTCCGGAGCTGTAACTCTATGCAAACCAATTGGCAACACATGCCCCGAATTAGCTAGGTGGTCAGCAACCACGTTAGCCTCTCTAAACACATGATGAAACTGAACCTGCCAATCTCGACTAAGCCAACGTCTGATCTCAGCCACCGAGGTGTAGTGCGAATGCTGAGGTGTAGCTGTCTCAATGAGCTTCAAAGCCGTGGTTGAATCTGTCTGTAGGACTAACTTCCTAATTCCTGCTTCCCAAGTCAGCTGTAGCCCGTGCACAATCCCTGCCAGCTCGGCGCTCGTGATGGAAACCCCCCCCCCCCCCCAAGGTTCATGGAGAACGCAGCAATGAATCGACCATCGTCCCTTCTAACGACGCCCCCGGCCACCGTGCTTGCTGGTGTGTGAATCACGGATCCGTCGGTATTGAGGCAAGCCCACCCTTGCGGCGGAGGCTGCCATTGGATCAGCGCTGGCATTCGGAGTCCCCCGGCTCCGATCGCCTCTCTCTCGATCTCCGCGGCTTTCAAAGTTTGGTGCCGAATTCGCACCGAGCTAGCCTGAATGTGTGCCCAGGAATCCAACTTACCTTGGAAGCAGAAATTATTCCGGTTTTTCCACAGCAGCCAGCACATGTAAGTGAAGAGCGTGCTGTCAATTGAGTGACCACGGCCTGAAGTGTAGTGAAAAATCCATCGGTCGAGACTGGGTTCGAAAAAGTCTTGGTCCGGCTCCTCTTGAAGTATCCCTGCCCAGGTTGCCCTTGCGAAAGGGCAGTCTCGGAGTACGTGTATCGTAGTTTCAGAGCCGCCACCACATATCTTGCACTCATCATTCTCCGTGAGGTGTCTTCTTTTCCGCTCCGCATTTATAAGAAGGCGGCTATGGTTGGCCAGCCACATGAATGACCTCATCCTCTGCATCGCCGGGATTCGCCACGTCGTGCGCCACTTGGGATGCCGTTGTAGATGGCCCTGGTCCGCCTCCCCCATCATCTCGTATGCTGTCTTGAAGTTGAACTTGCCATCCGGGGAAAATCGCCAGCAGCGCACGTCCTCTTCTGCTTCCGTCGGTACTGGGTGGAGATAAATGTGATATTCTAGCTAATTATTTAACGTGATTAATATTAACAACTAGTGGAGAAAAAAATAGAAAACAACCGCCGTTGCAACTTCTCTGATTTCCTCGTTAAAATCTCCAGCGTAGCCGTCAAATTCCGGCGACCGACTCCATCAACGGCGTGGCACGCAGGGTTCAGTTTTTGCAGCTTCATCGTACTTGATACCGTCGGCGTGCCTTGAAGCCCCAACGTGGCCGGGTTTTGCATAGACATAGGAGTCCTGTGCATTGAAGTCACCAGCGTCGCCTTGACGCCGCTAACGTCGCCGGGTATTAATTAATATAAAAAACAGAAACCACCGAAAAGTGATGCGTAATCAATACAAATGAAAACCATCCTATTAATAACTAGCTTATAACCCGGCCCTTTGGCCGGAATGCTGATATTTGATTATTTGTATTTTTATGTTACTTTTAAGTCTATTAACCCGTTTAATCTTATTGATAATCATTCGATCGAGATGATACATAAGGAAATAATATATAGGTCGAAGATTCGGAGAAATATCATAATCATTTAAGAATATAAAATATAAAAATGTATCATTGACCCCATTTTCATAATGCTAATTAAGTCCATGTTAAAATGCTATTGGTAAGTTTTCTTTTACAGTCAAGAAATATAGAGTATAAAAGCTCACTGAAATTCTCACACAACTCATAGATAGTTTGAAACTAAATCTTAAACCTCACAATCCTATATAAAGGGTTCAATGCTCTCCTTTTAGAAACAATATGTCACTAATCAAAAAGAAATGGAGAGTTGTTGATTCAAGTCATCTACATAGTAAAAACTCAGCTAAGAGGGCACCATCACAACTTGAGAGCAAACGAAAAAATCAGGGTTATCTCCAATATACGAATAGACTCGATCAAAGTAATAAGGCGCAAAATTAGACACTCCTTATCTATTAGTTCCAGTAGGTTGAATAAAGAAGCGACCTATTTCAAACAATCAATCAATGATTCCTCGTTTTAAGATAGAAATAGGTTATGACAGTTGCAAAAACCATAAACATAAAGATCCAATAGCCACCACTCTCCGTTGTACAACCAAATTTCTATCTCAAGAGGCATATATTCAACCAAAAATTCAATTTCTAATCTTCCTTCTACAACTTCAGTTATTGATGAACTCCATTCTATTCGCCATGAATTGATATCGGAGTTGAAATCTTCTACTCGCCCAGTTTAAAATCCCCAACAATAAAACCGTAGTGCCAAGAGATACCTGAAGATTGATTTTCAATGACAGTCTTGTACTGGGAAGTGAAAGGCGCAAACTATTGCACGATGGATGAAATTTCGGAGGAAGTTATAAAGAGAAAAAAAACAAAGATAAAAAAAACACAAAATTTAAATTTAAATTGAAAAATGCAAGGATACAACAGTAGTTACATAATTAGTTTCTTCCATGTTGGCCAATTACCCATTTACCTTTAGCAAAAATTAAGGAGATAGCGAGAATTTAAAATTGAGAAAATTACATGAAACTCTACTATGAAAATAGAAGCATCAAGCTCGATAAAAATAAATACGGTAGACTTAGTGAGCTTGCTAATTATGATAAAAAGTCCTCTGATTTTCAGAGATTAACTTTGTCTATTTTTTTTATAAAAAAAAATGCAATAAATTTGTTTAGTGTAACTGGTTGTGATTGTTATCTTTGTTTGAAGAGACCCGGGTTCAAACCTTGATATTGCTATTTTTATATGAAATAAATAATAAATGTGTAAAGACAAAAATGACCTTCCTACTTTCACTCTCGTTGCAGGAAATTTGAAATGGAGAAAAGTACACAAAACTCTACCATATATTAATGGAGGATGGTAACGCAACATGTTGTTAATGCAAGAAAGTCTATTAATATATTTTTTCCATCTTATTAACAAAGTTGACGAAAAGTTTAATATTAATAATCATTAACGTTATTAACCGAATTGGTGCGAAGTATTAGTCTTTTGGCTCTAGATTTACAATCTGAACCCAATTAGAAACTTATGACGCTGACGGTGTGTTCATAACGGTATGGACAATATTATTAACAAAGTTATTTGCATTATTATTAACCAAGTTTGTTAGTAACCAATTATGGTAACACTACTATATTATGTTATTAACGAAAGTTGAGGATTTGGTACTGGATATAAGGTAATTGTTAAAGGTTATGCAGTTATTATTAATGATTTACATTGTCGTTATTAACATCGTAAGGACATGTGGATTAATAATTTACATTGTCGTTATTAACATCGTAAGGACATGTGGTTTTCTTAAACGTGTCATATGGATTTTGTGTTCAAAATCGGTGGTAAATATTATTAATGGTATTCTATTTTTTGTTAATGTGTTATGAACGGTTTTTGTTTTAATTATTAGTCATTTTTTATACCATTATCAATAATATATACTATGTTTTGGTGAATGTGTTGCGTGGAGATGTTTAATCATACTATTGAGGGATTGTCACAATCAATGTTCATGGTTAAGAATGGAGTGTAAAATCCAAAATATTGTGGACTATTATTAATGTAATATGGAAGTGTTATTAGCGGTTCAATGATTTGTGATTAACATTTTTTTTATTGAAAGTGACATTTACATTTCCCACCTTCGAAATTCACATGTACATACAAAATTTGAAAACATTACTAATTAAGCCGTTAACAATCCATGAAATTCCATAACTAATTCCGCATGCCACATGTTAATAATGATACCACTATATGTTAATAAAAACCCATGTTGAGTTATTAAATACAATACAAACCATTGACAATGCTCTACGAGGCTGTTAATAAAAACTCAAGCTGTTATTCACGGCGGCTGGGTTGCAATGATGAAATCTCCCTGCAACACAGACAAAAAAGCTCATATACAACGAACTCTAGGAGGTAGGATATAAGGAAAGAGATGATCGCCGGCGCCGACGAAGAAAGGGTCGGGTCGGAGGAAACAATACGAGATGTCGTTAATAATGACTTTTCAAATATCCTAAAATTATTATGGGAAACTCATATTTTTAATGATACTTTGCATAAACGTTAATTACATTACATTGCATTATTAACGGTTGTATAAAACTTAGTAATTTAATTAAGGTCATTGATAACGGTATACGTTTTACCGTAGATAACTTTACATTACATTGTTAATGATACCTCACATAATAGTTGATAACTGTAATTATGACAGTATATTGTTAATGATGCCTTGGAGAAACGTTGATAACGTTAAATTACGATGTTAACAGTGGTAGAAAAATGTTAATAATTTAATTGATGGTCATTGATAACAGTATATGTTTTAAGTAAAAATAAATGTTCTATAATTGTAAGCGTTCCATGAGATTCATTAAAAATCATTGATAATGAACAAATCTAATGATTGTCAATCGCACTACATATTATTAATAATGCTTTCCCCAACAGTGATAAGCTATAACCACCCATTGATAATGATTCAAATTACGATACTGATTATTAGGAAAACGTTAATAACCACAATGTATGTCATTAAAGTGTTGTTGTAAATCGTTGAAAAGGAAAACAAAATTTGTTAACCATACTTTGTTGCCTATAGCCAAATTGTTATCAACGTAAGAACATTAACAATCAACTACAAAAGGTTAACAATCAGCGATGAAAGGTTAACAATCACCACAAAGAAACAATAACAAGATTGAAAACCTTTCATGGCCATAGGAAGAATCGTTGACCATTACTTCACAAAATGTTAATACATAGATCAGATTAGGTTAACAACCAACCCACGATGCATACTCGTCTGAGCAAAAAACACACGAAAGGTAAGATGTCGAAGGAAGCTTCAACGATGGAATGTGCGGCGACGTGAAGCTGCTCCACCCGATAAGATTTGAGGCGTTGAAACGATGGATGGAAGTCATGAAGCTGCGGATTTAACGAGATTCGCGGCGCTGCAAACAACGGAAGGAAGAAGTTGGGAAGCTGCAGAATGAACGAGATTCGCGACGCTGCTGTCGACGACTAGTGCACCAAAAACCGGCAGACGATCGCAGGTATCCCCTGCACCAGAAAAACGATGTTGCTGCATGTCGACGTCGCCGGAGCCGTAGAACTTGTGGAAGCAGAAAAACCTAGAGAACAATACAAAAAACCCTAGTTTACCAACGTAAGACATGGGGTTAGTATAAATAAATACATTAATAATTAACTAAACTAAAATTGCAATGTCATTCTTACCCCTAACAACCTAAAAACAGCTAACTGTCCACTAACAACCCACTAACTACTTAAGATTGATCTAATGGCCCACATTAACTTAAGGAGCTTCTTAAGTATAGAGGCTTAAGGATGTGAACTCATTCCCTTCTCCTCTGTTTTGTTATCTGCAGCTCCCTAATCTGCACTTTATATAATGGGGGAAGGCGTCGCTGCTCCGACGAGGAGGAAGTGCCCCTTCAATTTGATAATTATAATAAATTTTATTTTATTTATTTATTTTATGGAAAAAATGAGTTGAACATTAAAATAAATTAAATTAAATTTTATTTATTATTTTTTAAATGCCACGTCACTAAGTTAACGGTCAACTTTGAGAGTTGATTGCCACATCAGCAAAAGTTAACGGAGTTGGACGGAGAGTGACCAAACTTGAACGGTTTCAGTAAACTGAAGTACCATCAATGGATTTAAATATTTCGAGTGACCAAACTTGAACGTTTTTTGTAATCTCAGTGACCAACCATGCAATTAACCCAATAAAAAATGAAGATGAAGTTTCAACATAAATCTAGCTAATTGTTCAAGTACAGAGTTATAATCAGACATAGAACGCTCCTCAAATGAACAATCCAAATTAGTATAAAAATTAAAAAGAAGAAAAGTGAGCAAAGAATCATAAAAGGAAGTGAATATATGGTATATAATTTCAGTAACGGGAAAAAATATCAATTATCATCGATAACTATAAGTTTGAGAATATATTCACTCAAACTTGAGAAGAAAGGATAACTAAAGATTTGAGAAGATATTTTGCTTGAAATTGGGGGAAATTGTTTTTTAATAATTTTTAGGATTTTAGTTTATTTAAAGACATATGTTAGATATTGGATGGTTTGAGATTAAAAGGTAGGTTGGATCCCAAGTCAACCACATTCCATTCATAGGATAGGACCCAATATATATTGGGTCACCTATTTTACAATTTGTACGGGACCCACTCACAACAGAATGGATGAGTTAGTTGCAGATAGATTTGTGGGTTCAACCTCCTAATGCTCACCCCTAATCATAAAATATCTAGTGTATTCCAAGATGCATTTTAAAAATCGATTTGATGGAAAATTTCAAACTCTATCAATTGTATTTTTCTTTTGTATACACTAAGGCCAATGGGTTTGCCACAAAATTTTGTGGAGTGGCGATGTTCAACTAGTTACTGCTTTACATCCACGTTCTCTAAACCAAAAAATTGGATACTTAATTTTGACTTACCGCAAGTCAAATGACATGGATAGATGTTGCTGTCTTGAGGTGCAATCCAAGTGCCACATTAGACATACAAGGGAAAGTTCACGTGGATACAAATATCCATCTATAACTCTATTAATACGAGGTCATTCGGGAAGGTGTACAAGAACAAATACGTGGGGGAAACCCAGACGGACAATATCATATTAATGTGGGGTCTCTGGTCTCAATAATCGACATCAAATTCATGAGTCTAATAGTTCAGATTCAGGGGCAAAACGTAAAATATCTCGCAGTGTGAATGTGACATGGTTTAATGAAACGCCAATTGTGTTTGGTACTAATTTATTATTTACTTATCATTTTAAATCATAGGTGTGTTTGCCACGGCATAACTAATGTCATTCGTGTTTGTTGCCTAGTGATTCGTTCACATAAAATTATTATCTAGTTCATGCCAAAAAAAGGTTATATAAAAAAGTGAGAAAGTACATATGAGACGTTTCCATTTGTAGAGAGGGTTTTCAAAGACTTCCTCCTCCCCCTTGTAATTGTGATTTCATCGTATCGAACAAGTCCAATTGCCAAATGCAAAACAGGAGGGTGGGTAGAACATCTTTGTCCTTGGTTAACTTAAGCCACCTCTGCTCTGCCGCAAACAGCCAATTGAAAAAACGAAAAAGAAAAGAACCCATCAATTTCCACATCGTAATCAACCAAGTTCCCTATAACATGCTTCACTTCCCACACGACCGAGCAAATTAACTCGATCACCCTTGACGAAGAAATTCGATATCAAAACCCAACTCAAAAGAAATTCAATGTCGTCCCCTGCAACAAAACAAGTCGCCGTCGAGTTTCCCGGCCTAATCAAGCAATACACGGACGGAACCGTGGAACGCCTATGCGAATTCCCGACTGCCCCGCCGAATCTCGACTCGCCGGACCCAAAAACCGGCGTCTCGTCCAAAGACGTTACAATCTCCGACGACCCCAAAATCTCCGCCCGCATCTACCTCCCGAAATTAGACGAATTAGGGAAGAGGAAGAAGCTTCCGGTCTTGGTCTACTTCCACGCCGGCGCGTTCTGCTTGGGATCGGCCTTCTCTGCTCTGCAGCACGGCTATCTCAACTCGTTGTCCGCGGAGGCTGAGGCGATCGCCGTGTCGGTGGAGTACAGGCTGGCGCCAGAGCATCCTCTGCCTGCTGCTTACGAGGATTCATGGGACGTCCTTCAGTGGGTCGCGTGCCATTTCTCGGCAGCCGGAGATGGGGAAGGGGGAGAGCGGTGGATATTGGAGCATGGGGATTTGGACCGGTTGTTCATCGGCGGGGATAGCGCCGGCGGGAATATCGTGCACAACCTTGCCATGAGAGCAGGGGAAGAAGGGTTGTTCAAAGGTAAGAATGTTATTGCATGGTTCTAAATTTAAAATTATTATATACTTAGAAAGCTTTTTTTTTTATATTAAGGAGTAGGGCTGGAAAATAGACCGGGATATTTGAAAAATTGTGATCAAATCGGACATCGTAGTTTGGTATGGATCATAGATTGTTAAAACTAATTGGGTTAGGTCTATAGTTTGTATTTTTGATGTTTTGTTTTCTCATTATGGTTTAGATTGTGATTTATTGAACCAGACCGTAGACTTAGCTCACTTCACTTCTTAATCCGTATTAGTAATCCACTCGACCACTCTCTTTCAACTTTCTAGCGAGACCCAAATTTCAACCTTAATTTTGTGAATCTCATCTCCTCCTTCATTTACAGATCACACTTCATGAGAGAGCATTGATGATTGTGTCCCCATATCACTTCATGTTAATGTTTATCACGATATAGTGGAAGTCGGGTGACTCTAACTTTATGTGACTGTTCTTTGTTTGAAATATTTAGATTTTAGGAGAAAGAATGCAAAATTTCTCGATTATTGGTGAATTTTTGGTTTGGTTGATCAACACACACCTCATATTTTGCTCAATACAATGTCTAGACTGAGCCCTAATAATAGTTGATTTGCTCCATATGATTTATACTTACACCCCTCAATCTTCTTAATTATAGGCCATGTAATATATATATATATATATATATATATATATATATATGATCTATATGGACCGAATCGCTCAATTTAACAGGAGACCGACCACAAAGTCTCTACATTTTTTCTTCTTAGCTTGATTTTGCATAATCTATGGTTTTAAGAAGCCTTAAGCCTTTAACCATAATTTTTTTTTTCAGAACCATTTAAATAGGTTTGATCTTTTCTCATTTGATGTATTTTAACAAAATAAAATTACGCAGCAACTTACCATAACAAATATAAAAAATTACCCAGCGACCAACTAAGTACTAACCAATAATATTAAAAGGAAAACGATCTAACCATTTGATTATGCGCGGAAATCGTGGTAGCATCATACCAGTCTTTAGTTTTTAGTTCAGTCGATTTCCTCCTAAAAGACATCTTTAGTAACCATCAACCATGCACTTCTTTATTTTCTTTTTTGCCTTTCATTTGTACGTCCTTAAAAACTTAAAAGTCAATAATAACTACGTCTTGACTCTTCATTCAAAAAATTCAGATATAATAGTGGAGAATTAATTTTTTTTATTTTTCTCTTTTTTATTTTTGCCATAGATCGGGAATGAAATAGATATTACAGGACGCTAGAAAACCAGACGCGACAGTCGACACAATATCGAGCTGTCGATGAAAGGGCATTAGAAGCCACTAAGTGGACAGCCCTGTTGTACAACCTCTGTGTAAAAGTACAAATAAAGAAATTAAAAGACTCAGACGACAAACAAATCTCTTCCAAGATCGCTCCACCTGTCGCATGCGCCACATCACGAGATTGAATCATAATTGATGGATGCTTGTATGATCAAGGGAGAACTACGTGCCCCTGCAAAACAAACAAACACACAAGCGCCCATACTGGAGGACAACTAAGCTCCATCGAATGAACTTAAACAAGCCATGGAGACTTGGTCGGATACTCCGAATCCAAAACTAACAAGGACAAAAGAAAAATATTTTTTATTACTTTTTTTTACAGTAAAGTTAGTGAAAAGTTTATATATAAGAGCAGTTACGGAAAATAAAAATAAAAGATTTTAGAATTAAATTTCTGGAAATAAATAAATTTCAATTTTTTTTTGCACAGATGGAACGAGTTCGTTGTGCTCTACAAAATGAGATCATTTTCAATATTTTTTGATAAATTTTATTTTCGGCCTCTCGGTACCAACTGCATACCATATGGGTTCTTCTTCGTTTAAATTTGTTTTTGAAACTTTTTGCACAGAAGGAACGAATTCATAATGATCCATTGGATCTACAAATTTCCGGGTGAACAAAAGTCTTAAATGACAGTTAATATACTTCTACTATCATGTATTCAACCATCCTACAGTCATGGTTTGTTCATACCATAATTGTGCTCTTATTTCATTACCAGTCAATACCATATAATATAGACTGATAAAAAATGACTAATTTTTTTTTGTTCCAAAAATATATCAAAGTGAATATCATTTTGAAGAGCACAATTAATCTGATTTGACTGTGCAAAAAAAATAATAATTAAATTTCGACTTAAAACGAGTGAGAAATCGTCCGTTAAAGATTAAGGGGAGAAATTAAAGGTTTTTTATTAGGAGAGAGAATGGGCATTGATGTGGCGGATTCTGATTGAGTTATACTTAGTTATTGACCGCTAGGTTATTGACTGGATCCACTCCCGGGAGTTGGGACAATGTTTTCCTCCCCGATAATGGCGAATAAGGTTGGCACAATGTTGACTCTTCCGTACGCTAATGTAGCATATTAACGTTTGTAACTTTGCATAGTTTTGTTGAGGTTTATTTGAATATCCTAACTTTTCCCGACAAAAATATTATTGACATTCAATCTACTACGCACGTGTCTGTCATTATACCACTTCTAACATCCCAATCTATTTTGGGTCTATCTCACATGATTTTACTTCTAGGGTGCATCATGATGACTTTTCAGGAGATCACCCATCTCTGCAATACTCTACACACATGTTTAAATTCAAAATTGTTAAGAACTTTATCACAACTCAATACGTGTCTTGATACTCAAGATTAGATTGTTCCTTATGGATGATGGATGTCACCCTATTTTGTTAGTTTCATTGATAATACGAATTGTATACTGCATCCTATTATTTATATACAAAAAAGTGCTATTCTCTCTTCTTTCTACTCCCAAAATTGCAGGCGAAGTGAAGATTAAGGGCGGGTATCTTCTGCACCCGTTCTTCTGGGGGTCGAATCCCGTCGGAAAAGAGCCGAAAGAGAATCATCAGAATTCACTCCCGGCGGCGACTTGGCGCTTCGTTTACCCGTCGGCTCCCGGCGGGCTGGACAACGCGATGTTCAATCCAGGGGCCAAAGGAGCGCCGCCATTGGCCAGGCTCAAGTGCGACAAGCTGCTGATTTGCGTGGCCGGGAAAGATCAGCTGAGGGAGCGAGGGGTTTGGTACTACGAGCTGGTGAAGGAGAGCGGGTGGAAAGGCGAAATAGAGTTGTATGAAGTGGAAGACGAGGACCATTGTTTTCACTTGTTTAATTTTGGGACCGAGAAGGCTGAAACCATGATTAAACGCTTGGCCTCTTTTATTATGAGTTGAAGGGTTATTTGATCTTCTTCTAGTATATGAATTATTATTGGCATATGCTTTTTTTCCCTCTCTTCATAAAATGTATTAGTGTACGTGGTACACGATAAATAAATTTTGTATGAGTACGTTATTGTTGACATGAATATTTTTTTTCTATCAGAGTGTAAAAAGTGGGTAACAGTTTATAGATATTGTTAAATTTTTTTTTTCAATACAAAAAGAATTGAACATGGTTCTATCGCTTCATAACGCTAAAAACAGTTTCCCGATTTCAATTGCGGTTAGGAGATTTTTCATATCGGATATTGATAGTGTCAGTTTCACAAACATTGGTTTCAAGTAAATGGTCGAAAGTAGCCTTTCTATGTTTGCTCTCGTGACAAATTCGAAATGTAGAAAAAAGTTATCATTTCACTTAAATATAGTAGTAAATATTTGTTAGCACCGTAATAATACTTTATAATAAGTGTTTGTTAAACAATTTTCTACTAATGGTTAAACTAGACGTTTTTTATGTTAAAGTCCAAACCAATATAAATTTTTATTGATGTGAAACGATTGAATCATAGTTAAATTAAAATTTAATTACAAAATATTCTATCGCTAATTTATCCAAAACCTCCTATAGCTGATATATAAATTCTGCCATAGATTGGATGATATTTTCCTTGTAATTTAGGCTTTATTTACTATATGAGGGATGGATTGTAAATATTTTTTTTTGTCATAGGTAGATCGTAATAGATAGGGTATTATAGTGCAGTGGAAATAAAAACGCAGTAGTCAACCATATGGGTCGCTACCGATGCAAGGACCGTTTGTGCCACGCGATGGGCAGCCCTGTTAGTTCTACGAGGAGCAAAAACAAAAGAAATAAAAGCAAAAGAAGTCTTCAGCTTCCGCACTTCCTCAAGCACCGCTCCTCCGCGATCATGATTGACATCATTATCCAATGCACGTCGGATGACCAATTGGGAATCACCACAGAAACAGACAGCAGAATAACCACGATTAAGGCTCCATACCATTGCGTCACGCAAAGCTAACAATTCCAACAAGAATGGGTCCGAAATGCCGTCATAGAACTTATCGTATGCGCAAACCAAGGAGTGATTGCTAGCAAATCCAACGAAGCCAATGCTTCCTCCAACTCCTTGCCTCGTCGCACCGTCGAATCAGACGAGAAGACCACCAGGGGGGCACGCTGGGCCTGCTGCTGGTTCCCTGCTCTGCCGCCCTCTAGTAGATTGTTCCCTTGGCGCAGCGGTCGCCTCTCGCCATTCCTCAACCTGTCGATTGAATTGCCGAAATAGGGGACCTGGTAGATACTGAATTTTGTCATAGATTGACCAACATCGACCCTTCCATATACGCCAAGTGAGGAACACTACTTCTGCAATTTCCATCTTCGAGAGCTGCATAGAGAAAAAAAGATCATGCCACGCAAGGTCATTGGTTACACTAGACATAGCTAACTGAATCTGCTCTTTCCCAGCAAGACTCCAAATAGCTCGCGCAATCCTGCATTCAAAAAAAAGTGAGAAATGGTTTCTGCACTTTCTGAACAGATCAAACAACCATCAGAATCATAGAGGTGCTTCCCTTTAAGAATAAATTGCATTGGGAGGAAGCCTCTTACAACCCGCCAAAGGAAGAACTTGAGTTTCGGGGGGATTGGAAGGCTCCATAATGTCTTCCAGAACTTTATATTAAGGTGTGGAGGAAGCTGATCAAACTGAAGCTGTCTGCTGGCTGCTTGCAGTTGGTAGCCCGTTTTGACAGTGTATTGCTCAGAATTCGAGTAATGCCAGATGAGCTTGTCAGGTTGGGGTGCTGATGGAAGTGGTATAGAGAGGATCCATGACACACTCTCAAGAGTAATAGATGCACGAATGAGGTCTCCATTCCAAGTTCTAGTAATTGGATGAATAAGGGCAGCCACATAAGGATTGGGGAGAGAGATACCGGGCAGCAGGGATGGAGAAGAAGGAGGTGTCGAAGGCAACCAGAAATCCTCGAGAATGCGAATTGCTGATCCGCATCCTATTTGCCATCTCAATCCCTGCTTTAGAAGATTCCGCTCTTCAAGAAGACCTTGCCAGACCCAAGATGGATGGGAGCCAGTTGGTGCAGAGAGGAAGTCGTAATGCGGGTGATAACGAGCCTTGTACAGTCTTGCGAGGAGAGAGTCCGGACACATCAGTAACTTCCAGGCTTGTTTCCCAAGCATTGCTACATTAAAGAGGTCTAAGTCCCTAAATCCGAGTCCTCCATGGAATTTGCTGACACAGATTGTCGGCCAGGAAATCCAGTGCATTCCCCTCTCCTTATCTTGGCCAGCCTACCAGAATCTAGCCAGCTGGCTATTAAGTCTGCGACAGGACGATGAAGGAAGTCGGAATGAGAACATAGTGTATACCGGCATTGCTGAACCAACAGTCTTGAGTAGCACTTCTTTTCCCGCTAAAGAGAGTGATTTGGATCGCCAACTTTGTATGCGGGCAGCAAGGTTATCTTCAACATATTGGAAGGTCTGCACTTTAGAACGCTGAATTTGAGCCGAGAGCCCAAGATATTTGTCAAGGGGTCCAATGGAGGAAATACCAAACATATTCGCCAATAAAGTCTTCTCCTGATCACTAACATTAGAGCTGAAACAGACGGAGGATTTATGTAAGTTTATGCGCTGCCCACTAGCCTCCTCAAAGGGGCGCAACAACTGGATCAGGTTATCACACTCAGAAGTGGTTGCACGCAAAAAGAGATAGGTATCGTCCGCGAAGAACAAATGGGAGATAGGGGTGTCCAATCGGGTTCGGGTTCTCGGGTTAAACCGAAACCGAACCGGTAAGATGACATTCGGTTTTTGGGTTTTCGGTTTTGACCCGAAGTGCTATATATCGGTTTTGGTTTTGATGTATCCCGGAAACCAATTAAAACCCGCAAACCCGAAAACTGTGTGGTGAAGTATTGGTTTCTTTCGGAATTTTAGTGAGAACGAATGGGCTTTAAGTGAGAGTTGGCCCAACAAAGGCAAGCAACAGACAAATGCAACTGAATTGGGCTTATTAAGATGTTCAAGCCCAACTCATTTCCAGAACCAATTTCAAACAGAGTACTCCCTTCATCGTTCTGTATGCAGCCAACAAGAAACAGAGCAAAACCCAGAAACAGAGTAATAAAAGGAAACAAATTACGAATGCTGAAAACGAGTTACAGAGTAATAAAAGTACTCTAACAATAGAAGTTCTTGCTAGTTCTCGTGGTAAGAATGAGCCTTTATGGAAAATGAGTAGTGGGTTGATTAGTTTTTCCGGTTCTTAATAAGGAAAAATCTAGGATTCAGAGTATTTATTACATTGTTTATTGATATAAGAATTAAAACTAATGCGAGATTTGGGATTTCATTTCACTAATGGTAGCCATTAGTGAAGGGAGCTAGTTTTTGGGGTAATTTTTCGTCTGTGTGTGTACTAAGTTGAAAGGAAATAAACGGTTACCTTTTTTGGGTGTGAAGATTGAAGAGTGAAGAATAAGGAAATTACAGGCTCGTTTATGGTAATAAGAAGGTAAGCTTTCCGGGTTCCTTTAATTACACAAAATTCTGGGTTCCTTTAATTATACAAAATTCTGGGTTTTCGGGTTCCATTATAGCAAAACTGCAACCATTAGTTGAAGTTTCGGGTTCAGGTACCCGAAACTGGCATTTTTCGGTTTTGGTTCGGATTTGTAGTAAACGGGTGTCGGGTTTTCGGTTTCTTTTGAATTTCGGGTTCGGTTAACCGACCCGAACCGACCCGACAACCCTACTGCAAACTGAATCTTCAATAATGTCCCAATATGTTTGGAAGAATGCACTGGTCAGCCCATCCGATCCCGGAGCTTGCCCGGGGCCTATGTTGAAGGCTGCAGCTCGAATCTCATCCCGTGTGATAGGTGCAGCCAGGAAAGAATTCTGTGCATGATTAATCTTCGGTTGAAGTCCCAATGCATTAACCATGAAATTGGTGTGTATCCCATTGGACATAAACAAGTGTTGAAAGAAGCCAATAGAGACACTGCCTTTGCCATCCTCATCAACATGCAAAATCCTAGCTTCATCTTGCAATACTTCAATACGATTATGCCGCCACCGTTGAGTAGTTGAGAGCAATGTAGTCAAAAGCGAGTTTCTACGTAGAAACGTTTTGGTGATCTAGAAGCGTAAAATCGTAAGTTTTTAAGTTTTAAAGCTGAGTTTTTAACTACATAAGTTATAAAAACTGAGATTTTGTGTAGAAGCATTTTAGTGATCTAGAAACGTAAAATCGTAAGTTTTTAAGTTTTAAAGCGCGATTTTGACTACATTGGTTGAGAGGTTAAAGTGGTTCGTGTTGGCATCACCGACTTGCAGCCAAGTGGTTCTGGATTTCTGTTTCCAATAAGCTTCCTCTTGCAGATAATGCCGCCGTGATTTGAGTTTCAAGGCCCTGAATCACCTCCCAATTCACTGGTGGTGCGTCCCGTTCAGCCTCTATAGCAGATCTTAGCTCCCTGATTTGCCTGGCAGAGTTGGTAGTACCCATCCTTGCCCATTCTACAAGACGATGCCTCACTGCCTTGAAACGCGAGAACAGCTGGAATTGCGGAGTTCCCTGCATTGAAACCTGCCATTCGCCAAAGACAATATCACGTGCATCAGTGTTAGAACACCATCTGCGATCATAATGGAATCGCGGCTTCCCTTTCCCTACTCCAGGAATCAGTTGCAACAAGATGATCCTGTGGTCCGAACCAACTGAGAGATGGGTAATCTGCATAAGAGGCCAAAGAGACATGAGATTGTCAGTGACTAATGCTCTGTCTATTCGCTCTAAAATGTGAGTGGATAGTCCTTGCCGATTAGACCAAGTAAACGGAGGACCTTTGAATCCCAAATCAAGCAAACCTGCACCATCAACAAAGGTACGAAAGGCTTCCATCACCTGGAAAGAGGGTGGTCGGCCGCCCATCTTCTCGTTGGATTGAAGAAGGCAGTTAAAGTCACCTATGACCACTTTTGGCAATACGCAAGACGAAAGCAAATTAATAAGCTCATTAAACTGATGTTGACAGATATTTACATCGCTACTGAGGTGGACAAAGAGGATTGCTAACAAACCCCTCACATGCTGAAGTTCCACGAACAAGAAGAACTCAGCTTGACCTAAAACCCGACACAGAACATTAGATGATCATGCTACTACTAAGCCGCCTGCTGTACCAACAGGGGAGACACAATGGAAAAACTGAAACCCAAGATGCGGGAGTTTCTTATTTACATAGTCGTCGTCATGCTTGGTTTCGCTAAGAAAAATAACAGAAGGCGAAAACCTACACACAGCTCCAAACAGAGAAGGAATCGTCAAGGGTGAGCCAAGTCCCCGACAATACCAGGCGATTAAACTCATGGCGCCAGGTGGGACCAGTTCGGGCTGGTTGCCTCCACCACATCACAATCGTCAATGTTGTTCGAAGTATCCATCTGCTCAAAGCGAGCTTTCTTTGGTGTGCCAGCGTTTGCAGACTCGGTCAGCAATTCCCTGTGCCTGATCAACGGAGTTGCAGGCGGTTTCTCCATACCCCTTTCCATGGTAAGTGTTGTGTCAAGAGCAGATGTGTCCCCAGCAAGCAGGAGAGGTCGGGGTCTTCCCAGCAGCAGCCGAATCCGACCGCCCCTGATTCGCCGTGAGCAGCAGCGATCGTTGAGCAGGCAGTTTCCTCTGTGTTGATGCCTCAGCGGCTTCCTGGCGTATCCAAGTATACTACTTCCGGGTAAGCAGAGAACGCTTATTCACCTTCGGCTCGGACTTCGTCGCAACCAAGTGCTTGCCATAAGGTGTCACCGAGCCAGCAAGTTCCTCGTGGCGGGGCAGTTTTGCCCAATATGGCCTAGGATACGACACAGGTAGCAGAACTGGGGAAGTCGTTTGAAGGTGACAGCCGCCGTGAACGGCCCTATACCTCCCTTATCGTGAGAGGCAGGAACCGAGATGGGCAGAGGAAGGCGACCATCAAGCCAAACCCTCGCTCGGAGGTAGAGTTCTCCCGAGCCTGGGATGCGATGCACCGCAGCCGAATCACTCTTCCCCAAAGCCAATCTCAAGAGTGATGCCATTTTCCGGGTGCAACACTGGGGAGGGATGTCCCAAAATTGCAGGTCGAGAGGGATTCTCCAGAGCTGGTCTGCAACCGTCGGAGTAATCTCCACCCATGGGGCCAGGTTAACCAGGAATTTGGGTAGGAACCAAGGCGACTGCTTGAGCACTGCGTCCATATCGGTCTCTGTCGAAAATACAAACTGGAAGAGGCCTTACGCAGCCGGGAGAACAGAAATGGCACCGCGGCACCCCTATAATCGCCCCGTCGTTGTTTGGAGATGACGAATCGGAGGAGTAGAGCCAACCACCCTACTCAGTAGAGATAAGTCATTGTGTTCAGCGCCAACAACGACATCAGCATCCCCAAAAAGCACTCCGTTCATGCCAACAATGTTGCAAGGTCGTGGAAAGGGTAACAAGAGACTTCCCCGATTTCGGTAGCAATTGAGCAAGGATACTCGAATGAGCGATTGAGAACGCTTCACCCACCATGGTGGTTTTATAACCCCCATCGTTCCACGGCCCGTTGCCGGCGGGACACGATGATGTAGTGGCCGGTTACGGCGAGACACGTCGGCGATGTTTCCTCTCTCACTCTCCACGATAGAGAGAAAGGAAGGGGTTTTTTTTAGCTTCTCAATAGATGGATCGTAAATATTTCTTGTGAATATTGGGTCGTTCAGTTTTTTGGTCACGTTCTCGTGTATTGGATCGACCCAAACTTGACAAACCGAATTAAAGCCCAACATTACGGGCCTAGTCATTTTCACTAACCAATCCGTCCAATCGGCACAAAACATACGCTCCCCTCAACCGTCCATTTATCCTTGATAACTGGATCCGCCGTCCGCGCCACAGTAGTACAGTACACAGAAAACCTAGTAAGAAGGTCGCTGGTTCAGTTCATTCAGTTTCGCTTTTTAATTTGAAATTGAATTCTCATTTTTCCCCCGTTTCCCTCCACTTTACTCCTTCCCCTCTCTCTCCGCCTTTCAAATACATTGCATCCTCCTCGAACAATCTCGCCTTCCGATAGCAGATAGCAGAACGGACGACAACTGATCGAGAACGAAGCAGCAGATAAGAAGAACAAAAGAAGGTAAACTTGGCTTGTTTCTCTCTCTCTCTCTCTCTCTCTAGGATTCTCTGTCGCCGTTTTCCTCTCACAATCCTAGGGTTTCTTTTCGCTCTCTGCACCGTTCGAAACGATGTTCACTGCTTCAGTAGATTTGTCACATGTCAAGCTCTTACCCTCCTCCGTGCCGCAATTTCGCTCTTGAGTTTTGATCCCGGAGACTGCTTTTCCAATTCTTCACCTAGTTTGATCTGTGTGCGAGAATAGATCTTGTGCGGTGTGGTGTAGCTACTACGATAATGACGCAGCTGGTTGTTCGGTTTCTGTATGTTGGTGGTTCTTTGATTCTCGCAGTTATCCTTCCCAGTTTTGCAGTGGCTTTATGTCTTTCTTTACGAGAGGAACTGAGGAACTGTGATTATGCTGTGAAGCTTCTTTATGGCAGTATATGCAGCTCTGGAATCAATTTGGAGTTTCTAAGGCGATTTTTGTTAATACTTTGCTTTTGTATTGTTCCTGGTTGTTGTTCTTCTTATAAGACTCAAGTCAACTGTGTGACGGATGGTCTCCACGCCGAAAGTTCTTTTTTCTCATATATATGTATATGTTTGTGTATGCAGATTTCTCTGCAATGGATTCCAGTGCCACATCGCCGAAGTACGAACGCCGCCCATTTTCAATCAAACTGTGGCCACCTAGCGAAAACACGAGGCAGATGCTTGTGGATCGGGTAACCAGAAATTTCACCTCACAGTCGATTTACGCTCGAAAGTATGGGAACCTGGGGAAAGAGGAAGCTGAGGAGAATGCAAAAAGAATCGAAGCTGTTGCCTTCGAAGCTGCAAGCCAACGATACGAGAATGAACCAGATGGCGATGGAGGTTCTGCTGTACAGCTTTATGCTAGAGAGTGCAGTAAGCTTATTCTGGATGTCCTGAAAAGAGGCCCTGCGCCGAAGGAGGACATGGAAGATCTTCCATCCGAGGAAGGAGACCTTGTCTGTAATAAAGATGGCATGGAAGTCACCACTCCACCTCCCGAGACTTTCTTTGACATATCCAAGGGCTCCAGATCTTTCATAGGAGCAGAGGAGACTGAGGAAATTCTGAAGCCATTGAAGGAGCCTGGGAACTCTTATTCAAAGATATGCTTAAGCAACAGGAGCTTTGGTCTAGAAGCTGCTCGTGTTGCTGGACCGGTTCTGGAATCCATCAAGGATCAGTTAAAGGAAGTCGACTTGTCTGATTTCATTGCTGGAAGGCCAGAGGACGAAGCTCTTGAGGTCATGACCATCTTCTCCACTGCACTGGAAGGCAGCATCCTGAGGTCCCTGAACCTCTCAGACAATGCTTTGGGTGAAAAGGGTGTCAGGGCGTTTGAGGCACTTCTCAAGTCACAGAGTTGTCTCGAAGAGCTCTACTTGATGAATGATGGCATTTCGGAGGAAGCTGCTCGAGCAGTTTGCGAACTGATTCCATCTACTGAGAAACTCAAGCTCCTTCGTTTCCATAACAACATGACTGGCGATGAAGGAGCGCTTGCGATTGCTCAGGTTTTGAAGCACTGCCCTTTGCTTGAGGACTTCCAATGTTCGTCCACAAGGGTAGGTGCAGAAGGTGGAGCTGCTTTGTCAGAAGCACTCGAGTCTTGCACTAAGCTGAAGACATTAGACCTCCGAGACAATATGTTTGGGATTGAAGCTGCAGTTGCTCTTGCCAAAGCAATTCCCAAGCTTCCTTCCTTGACCGAGATATACCTGAGCTATCTAAACTTGGAAGATGAAGGTGCTATGGTCATAGCAGATGCACTCAAGGACTCAGCTCCATCACTCGAAGTCCTTGACATGATGGGAAATGACATAACAATTGAAGCTACTCCAAGTATCGCTGCCTGTATTGCATTGAAGCAGAACCTGAAGAAGTTGAACTTGGATGAGAACGAACTCAAGGATGAAGGTGCTGTGCATATTGCAAAGGCCTTGGAAACGGACCATTCGCAGTTGAAGCAAGTGGATGTGAATACCAACTCCATTGGAAGGGCAGGTGCTCGTGTATTGGCTAAGGTTGTGGTTCAGAAGCCTGAGTTCGATTTGCTGAATATCAACGGGAATTTCATCTCCGACGAAGGGATTGATGAGGTGAAGGAGCTTTTTGCGAAGTGTCCTGGTAAGCTTGGGCCGCTTGATGAGAATGATCCTGATGGAGTAGGAGACGCCGAAGAATCTGATGAGGAGGGTGATGGCGACGATGATCATGATTTGGAATCGAAGTTGAAGCATCTTGAGGTCAATGAAGAGGATTAGTAACTTCATTAATCTGTCTCATGGGGGTTATTTAGAAGATTATTGCAGACGGTTTTTTTTTTATTATATATTTCTTTTCTGCTAGAAGTCATTGCATCTTAGCATTGCAGTAGGTTTGCATCTCATTTTGTTGATGAACGATTTAGCGTTTATCGAGTAGGTCAGGTAAGAGATGCATGAATGAAACCTTTCATTCATTTATATGTATCGTGTTTTGTTGCTAGTCATTTTATGGACCCTTTGATAGACAATTTTTGTCTGTGTCAGTAAATTAATTAAGGATTAAAAAACTGTACTGAAGGTCATACCAGATTAATTTATGGTAACGTATTTTGTGATATGATTTTGGTTAAACCATTACTATTCTGTCAATTTCTATTCGGTATGATTAAAACTAACTGAAATATCATGGTTCATAGATCGTCTTCTAAAAACGGGCTAGTATGATTTTTTACCATTGATGTTTGTACAAATCCAGATTTTGATCCAGTGTTGCTATTTTGCGGTTTAACTGCAGATACAGTTTTTTTAATCCTTGTTCAAATCCTACATAAACTCGGTTTTGCTCTCCATTTTGCAGCGAACTAAATAACGAGGGGAAAAAAAGAAATACTTTTATAGAAGCGATTATGAAATACAGTGTTCTTGCTAATCGGACTCTGAGCTTGGAAATGCCAAAAATCGGCACTAAATTCATTAGCAAACTAGAAAAGTAACTCCCTTCAATACCCTCCTATCATTTTTTTTCTGCAGCAGGATCTCATCAGAGCTCCAGCAAAGCCATTATTACACTACCTCTGCCGTCGGAACTCTGTTCCCCTTGAATCGGAGGACGAACTTGGCGCAGTAGGATAGTGAGATCTCTTCTTCTTATGTGTTTTCCACGTCAGAATCTGTCCACTCCAATTCACGCTGCTGCTTCCACTCCGTGGCTCAAATACAGCATCATCATGTATAACTCGTCTCGGCGGCGCCACCGGCGTGTACGCGGTTGTGGTGGTATCTTCACTCGTTCCTTCGCTCATGGTCGTCGTCGCTGCACTTTCATTCAACACAGAAGCAGAAGCACCACCAGAATTGCCAACAACATGTATCAGATTGCCTTCTGGCAGTGGAGGAGGTGTTTCGATCCTCCTTCGAGTTGGCATTGCTGTGGGAAGTTCTCCATTCTCAACGGCCTTGGAAAACTGATGATCAGTCAAAGTATCGGCGTAAATCACTTCCTTTCTTTTTCGCTTCCCCAGCACTGCATTTTGATCGAACCCTTTGCTTGGCCTGCTGTCTTCCTTGGCAATGTTCTTGTATGCCCATTCGGGGACCTCGTTTTCTCCCATGAGACGGGGCCTGTAATTGTCCTTTCGATTTCTCTCGCAGTCCATTTCGTCGAAGAGCAGTTGTTCGTCCTTCGATCGAGCTGCCAGCCAGTTTATTTCGCTCTCAGTTGGTACGTCGTTCCCCAGTAAGCTCGTTCCTTTGCGCATGATCTCCTCTAGCAGCTCTCTCCTGTCCTGAGCTGTGAAAAGTTGGAAAAAGGCAGAAAGAGCAGTGCTCATTTTGAAGCATTAAGGACCTGACTAGGGTTTTACTACACCGAGTGTAAGTCTGATATTACATACCTGTGGATGTGGTATTGAAAAGTCCTGCTTGGATGACCTTCGCATCGATCCCCATCTTCTGCTTCGCACGTTCCAAGATCACCTCCTCGATCGAGCCAACACTCACCAACACAAAAACCCGAACCTCCTTCTTTTGCCCGATACGATGAGCACGATCCTCCGCCTGCTGGTCCATCTGAGGGTTCCAGTCGCTATCGAACATGATCACTGTGTCAGCAGTCTGCAGATTCAACCCGAGGCCTCCAGCACGGGTGCTGAGAAGGAACATGAAGTAGGGAGAGTCTGGAGCGTTGAACTGCTTCAGCTTAGCGCCTCTTTCTTCCGTTTTGGTGGTGCCATCGAGTCTCAGGTACATGTAACCATGAAGCCTCAGATAGATCTCGAGGATGTTCATCAGTTTGGTCATCTGTGAGAAGAGGAGAATCCTGTGGCCCGTGGCACGTAGCTTGGGGAGCAAGCGATCGAGAAGCTCAAACTTGCCTGAGGCTCGAGTGATTTCGTCGATCTGTCTCATGTTGTAGTCATCTCCAACAAAGAGGTACGGATGGTTACAGCACTTCCTCAGCTGCATTGTTAGATTCTGCAGACTTTTCGACTTCCCGGATCCTGGAAATTGTTGAATTTCAATAAGAGAAGAGCCCTCAAACACTCTCATAGCAAACTTTATAAGATCTTACTATAAAATGAGTGGATAACAGATTCTATCGATTTTCTGTAAGGATCTTTAGAAATTACAATAATACTTGGCAAATATTACCTTTTTAGTTTTTACAATCTTACCATTCTAAGAAATACTATACCGTATCTTACTTTTATCGAGAATTAGTTGAAGAATATAATATTTTAAATCATATTATCTTCATAAAAATGCTACACATATCACTTATCATTATTATTATTATACAATGACATATTCGATAAAATTATTCATTTATTGTACATGTTTTTTCTTTCATGGAGATTTTCATACCATGACTCATGTGACTATTTGAACGTAACTGATCACTTAACATTCGAAGTTATTTTCATACGACAATAAAATCTTACGACTTCACAATGGGATCTGATGGCCTTGTTCTACAGTACTTTTCAATTTTACGTAAAATCTCGACTTTTACAACTACGGTCTACGAGGAAGAGCAGATGTTTGGATAGCAAATAAGAAAAACAATAGTTTGATTCAATATATGCAGAATGTTACTGACCATTTTGAAGCCCAACTCTGCCCATCTCTGTAATCTGCCGATAATAAACCTTCTGCCATGCTGACATATCACACTTCAGAATAACCTGAGATTTAGAAGGAAGGAATTTCTCTACCTCATCCTTCTTTCTTCTCAGTATGAATGGTCTTATAACCTGCAAACAGAGATCATAAGTTAGTAAAAGGACATCTGACGACAAATGCATCTGGCAAAATGGAAACCTATGAGCATACGTGATGTAGACGGCGAATAATCAGCAACTGTTCCTCATCAGTAAGACTAATGTCATCTCGATCAGCGAAAGGTGCATTGAACCATTCTTCAAACTTCGCTACTGAATTGAAAATACTCGGGAGAAGAAAGTTAAGGAGCGACCACAACTCTTGTAAGCTGTTCTGTATTGGAGTTCCAGTTAATAGAAGTCTACGCTGAAACTGAAATCTGTCCACAAAGTCAAAAGCACAATGGAGCAACTTTTTACCATAACAACTTACAAAAAAGAAGCTGTTTTCAGATTGAAACAGGCTGTTATCAACATACCCTGAGTCAAGAGTACGAGCAAGGGCACACTCATGGTTCTTCAATCGATGACCTTCATCAACCACCAGGTAAACCCAGTTAAATTTCTTTAGAAATGCTTTGTCCTTCATAAGAATATCGTAATGTGTGATTAAAACATTGAAGCTCCCCTCTCTGAGTAAGTGCTCTCTCATTGCTTTCCTCTCATCAGCACGGCCATCATAAAGGACCGCCTTGATCCTACACCATGAATGGAAGACATATTACAACTTCTGAATATTTAGATCAAATGTCAACTCGGAAGATGCTGGATACTTACTCGTCCTCGGGAACCCAAGTAGCAAATTCATTAACCCAATTTGGCAGGACAGCTTTAGGAGCCATTATAATGTGTGGTCCATCGACGCCTTTTTTCTCCTTGAGATGTGCAACCAATGAAATAGTCTGTATCGTTTTCCCCAGGCCCATCTCATCGGCCAAAATCCCATTTAAATTGTTGTTGAACAGAGAGATCATCCATTGAAGGCCCTCCACTTGGTAAGGTCTTAACTGTCCACCTTTCAGGATGGAGGGCTGCTCGATCACCTGTATTAAGATTTCAAGCAAGTAGATTTCAACATCATTTATGCTTATATACAAGCTGTGTCAAAATGAGCACCAAAGCATCAAAACAGCAGAAATTCCTCCCTATGTAGGCAAGCATGTAACCCAATGTTTAGTTAAAGAGTTGGATTTTACCTGTTCCTCAATTGAATGGATGGCTGAGTTGTATTGTCGCTGCCCTTCAAGTAAATCAGTGGTGTCTTCATCATTATTATCAGAATCAGCATCTTCTTCAGGGGTATTCCCGGGGCTTCCGTCTCTTGAGGCATCAACCTCAACGGGATCTCCTTCTATACCTGGTAAAGGTTCAATTCCATCTCCAGTATCTTTCTGACGCTGCACTGCAGCTCCCAGATTAGCAAGGAGTTTATTTGTTTCGGATAGAAGCATTGTTAATCGTTCATTTTTGCTTTGCTTCACTAGTCTCATGTAGGCTTCCTGATCATCGGCCTTTAGGGCTTGGAACCTCATTTTCTCAGCACGGGTAGCACGTTGCCTTTGCCTCCCATGCCATGCCTAAAAGATATGATTACATTCAGATCTCATATTCGAGAGACACAAGAATTCAAAAGAAGCTTTTGCAATCTGAAGAATCCATAATTAAGCAACTGTTCGGCCTTCAGATCTCATTTGATTGCACTAACCAAGAAAATGAACGCTTTGGGATATCATTCTAATATTAATAGTATTCATCTGTGCTGATATTGCTATGCAAACGGAACTGAGCAGATACAGGACACATACAAAAAGATACCTGGATACCGTCATTTCTTTGCTTTCGACGTTTAATAGAAGCTTGAGTATGGAACTGCAACTCTCGACCCGCATTAAATACTTCTGCGAAAAACTTTTTCCTTCTAGTGTCCATTTGGTTCCTTTCTTGCTCCTCTAACATTGCCAATCTCTGGACAGCCAAAAACACAAAGAACATTTTTGCAACAAGTCATTAAACAAAATTTACATTTGATCAGAGTTAAACACGTCAGAGTGTATACACGTCAGAGTGTATACATGACCGATCCAAGTATTCATGTCTTAGGGTGTTCCAATCTAAAAGTAACTGCAGAATTGTACGGTGACAAATACTAGTATAACCCCAAAATTCAGTGGCTATTATCATACAACAGAAACCAATAAGCAGCCATCTCATTTGAAATTAGAATGGCGAAAATTTGCAAAGGAGAGCAACTGCTGAAAATTTGGACAACCATGACTTGGATGTGTATGGGTTCTATTAGGAAGGATTCTATAACCTATTAAAAAAAACAAGGTCATGAGATAGCTTCACTAATTAAAAGAACTAGAAAAAAATAAAACAATAGCCATGAAACCTATCGTCTTCTCTTGTAAAGATGGTAGGAAACTTTTCAATTATAATCAATGGCTGCAAGGCACATCCCACTATTAAATAATCCAAGTTAACTACTCGATTGTCGATTGCATCATGTTTTAATCAAATTTGGGAGGAGCTTTTACAGTCTAAGGAGTACAATGAGAGTGGGTCAGGTTTATCAAGGCTTAACATTTATGCACCTCGCAGTACAATATGATAACATTATTGATCAAATAAAGCAAAACATATTATCCAGAATGTCCAGATCCATAAACCCATAAAATGTGAACAGGTTTCAAAGTACAAAAATAAACCCTCTGCAGACCAACCTCAGCATCACGTTTCTTCCTGAACTGGTCATCAGCTCCAGTTGCGAAAGCATCTCCTAGACCATATAGAGGACGCCGCAGTCGCATCATACTCCAGTCATATAACTGCTTCTCAGGACAAGCACAACTTAGTCGAAGCGAGTATTCCGAACTGACTTCAGATCGAACTTTCCTTTGCAGCTCTGCCAACTGCCAAATAAGAAGTCCTTGCCGGCAAGGACAAAAAAATCATCCCTCATTCTGGAGCGGAATCTAGTATATATGCATAAAAAATTGAAATCTAGTATAAATACTAATTCATTATCATGATCGCAAAGCTTCCTTCATTCGTCATAAAAAATTATTCATTTATAGTCTCTACAACAACCAACTTGTTTGCAAAAGGAAATGAAGACCGGTGAGGGAGACCATTGGACAAATATTGGTTCTGAATTTACTGTCGTTATAACTAATAGGTGAATGTTTCAGATGGTACTATTTTATATAACAACCAAACATTAATTTAGCAGTGACTATGAAAGATCAAATTTACCTTCAGTCCGTAAAGCTCAAGCAAGCATTTTGCTTGAACTTCCTCCCCTCTAGTTGAAGGCAATTCTGACATAATAAAAAAAAAAAACATGAAGAAATCAGTTGTGGGAGGTCCATATTGCAGACTAAATTAGTTCAGAATGCTATTTGGAAGGAGGGCGCACTTTGAAGATGTTACTGGTCCTCCACAACTACAAGGGAAAACCCTTAAATAACCAGAACAGTGTGAGCATGCAGCAAGAGCAATTTATTTGCTTGTAATTATTGTCATCCTAATTATTGAAGTAAATTTAGCAGCATAAATGCTCTGCCAAGATAGCTCAGTTGATTACGACTCAAAAATCTTGGCATGCAAAAGTACCATAGAGACAACTCTGGAAATGCCAACTCCATTCTTTATTTTCTTTTATGTTTTATCAGTTAGCATGTTCTATGAAAAGATAGCAACCTTCGAGTTCATTTACTCGGTGTCCGATGGTGCTTTGATATCGTTTGTCCCTTGTCTCTGCCAACACAGCCCCAGACATAAACTGGGGCCTATGCCTTGATAGTGCTTCCTCAAATTCAGCCATCAAATCACCTTTGGCGGATATCTCAGGATCCTCCTGCTAAATGATTTGATCAAACAATGAAAAAGACATCATAAAATGGCTGCTTCAACCGTAAGAACAATTCATCTCAAACAACAGTTTTCAAACCGCAGACAAACACCCTGACAAAAGCAGACCCCATATCTGCAGCTCTATCTGAGACAAAAAGATACAACCGTCTACAGAGTAAAGACAGAGAAACAAAATGCAAATAGCCTGACAATAACAAGGACACAATAGAGTGAAATTTCTGAAACATAACTACTGGTCCTCGTACACAAGCCTAGGCAAATAACAAGCAACTAAGAAAAGGATCAAACACCAAACAATTGACAATTACAAGCCAGTAGCACAACGATTGCGCCTGTCCTAGTGCAGTAACGAGTCAAATAACAAAGCACTTGGACTAGGATCAATTGCCAACAATTGCCAAATCGCGAAGACAGTTGCAAAAACAGACAGCTATGGAAACTGGAAAGCCCCCGAGACACTCCAAAAGACCAAATTTCACAGAAACCCACCAGTGACATACAAATCTAACTGCAAAATACGGAGGCATTCAACGAAAAAGCCTCGAACTTGATCTTGAGAAACACAAAAAAGGGGCTCCCATCAAACCCCACCACAACACCCAATTGACAATGCAAGACCAATCCAAACACCATTCCAGAACCCTAGACCCACCAAAACAACCAAACGAGCACCCAAAGACAACACAGCGCACCAACCTCGCCCGCGACCCGACCATCCGCCTGTGCTTTACCATCCTGGGGCTCTTGAAGATAGATAGAGGAGACGGTTTGGAAGAGGTGCTGAGGCAGAGGGAGGTTCCGGGAGACAAAATTGAGAGCAGAGATGAGGGATTTGGTCTGCTCGACGTCCTCTGGAGAATGTTGAGGGTCTGGAGAGCGCTGTTGAGGGTGGTCGAGCTGAGCCACCATGGCGGGAATGAAGTAATCAAACGGTCGTTTTACCGGGGTTCGAGTGTTTTTTTTTTTTTGAATAAGAGGGGTTAAAATCTGAAAGCAGGGTGGGGGGTTTAGCAGCCTCGTAAACTATCTATGGACTAAGGTTTGGTTGGGTGGTCTGCGGCCTCGGCTGCCGCTTTGATTTTCTTTCGCTGCGCCAAAACAAAAGCCCTCGTTTTCCCTCTCGCTCCTCGGCGTCGTCCTTCCTCGATTTTCCCCTTTTTGGTTCGGGTTTACGAAATTAGGGATCCGAATTACAATTTTGGGGGGTTTCGTTTTATCCTTTGTTTTTTTTTTTTAATTTGTTTGGCCGAGCGAAGACCGAAGTCCAAATTCCACGCGGCATCATGCTCTGATTACAATGACAAAAGAGCCCCTATTAACGTTACGGACTTAGGGCTGCAAATGAGCCGAGTCGAGTTTTCCTCAGCTTGAGCTCGGCTCATTAATAAATGAGTCGAGCCGAGTCGAGTCGAGTTCGAGCTCGGCTTGTTTATTAACGAGTCGAGTCGAGAGCTAGCTTGCTTAATAAAATCTTGACTCGTATTTGATATATTCGTTTTGTATGTAATACATGATACATGTGATTAATGTCAAGATGAAGAAAATAATAATAATAGTTAGGCGTTCAATATAAACTAATTTTACGTTATACTTTGTGGTATCAAATTATTTAGCTGATAAATTTTAATTTGTGAAAATTACGTTATTTCACAGTATCGAAGCAATCTATGATACATAATTGCTTTTTAAAATTAAATAAAACATATTTGCTCACATAATCTACGTGTTAAACTTCATATATAGTGAGATATATAATTTAACAATCCTATGAATTATCAAAATCGAACTCATATAGATCGATTCGCTCATAACTCGGTAATCGAGTTGGCTCTCTAGCCACAATCTTGAGAGTTGAGACATCTCATGAGGTTTTAACGAGCCAGCTCACGAGTTGAGCTCAACAAGCCACCGAGTCGAGCTAGCTCGCGAGCTCCACGAGTTGCAGAAGGCTAAGCTCAAGCTCGGCTCATTAGTAAACGAGCCGAGTTTCGAACGAGCTTTTCCCGAATCGAATGTTGAGCCGCTCGCGAACAGCTCGGCTCATTTGCAGCCCTACCTATGGTTCTATATCTATACTTCTATTTTTTTTTTAAGGGTATACTTTTATTGTTATGCAAAGGGTAATTTTGGCTTTGGGAATGGTCTCAACTAGGATAGATATACATTTTTTATTTACTTTTATTTATATTCTATATAAGGAATGGTTTCTATTTTAGAAACCAAAATACTTGAGAGAATTATTAAAATTAGGATATGACCATAAAAATTATCAAAATTTCCTCCTTCATATTCTATACACATTTCACTTTCTTGTCATGTTGAAACCTTCGAGGTATTCCTTCTCCTTGTGTTACAAGAATTTTCATCTCCAGTCTAACAAGCTAGTGTTTCCTCGGGAAAACATCGTCGGTGTCGAATTCGTTTCCGGCGATGTTGATTTGATGTTTCGTGATGGAAACTCTTGCGGTGTCGTTTGATCGAATGCACCGCTAATTGCTGAAATCGAGACGACCGTTAAATATCCACCAAGCGGTGTTGATTTGATCGGTGCAACTGGCTTCTGAAAACGATGACGATCGTCAAATATCCACCACCGTGCGATGTTGATTTGATCGATGCACCTCTGAATGGTGAAATCAACGTGACCGTCAAATATCCACCACCGGGCGATGTTGATCTGATCGATGCACCTCTGACTTCTAACCAATGTGACCGTTACTACGGTTCGCACCTCTCCAAACTACGTTCGAACGAGGGTGTTTGAGTTTTGACGAATCTACGCTACCGCTACTCCTATGGAGATTCCTGTGGAGAGCTCAGCGACTACGACTAAGACTACAACTATGGAGATCCTTCCTAGAAGGAGAGCTCCGCGAAGGAGTTACAGAGAAAAAAGGTAAAGTTTGACAGATGTGTTTCTATGTTGATTTGGTTGTCCCCTCTCTCCTTGCTCCGCTGCTTTTATTTGAAATCACTTGCGTAGTCTTCACGCCCTGTGGAACTGCTTCCTCAACCGCTCCGTCGTGAACTCCCACGTGTCTTCACCCTTATCCACAGAGTCGTAGTCTTCAACCGCTTTGATCTTCTCTTCACTCCCGAATCTCCCGTGCAAGAAAATAACTCTGTTATTTTCATGAGCCCGCGACGTCGTTTACGCCTCCACCAACAAAGTTTCCATAACGACGTCGTTGAACCCATTCACGGCATTGCTCAGCTTCCAACACTGTCAAGCTCACTACGTCTTTGAGCTTCACGATGTTATTTTGGCCTTGCGGCATCGTTGAATTTCTCAGCGTTGTCGAACTCGCAACACCACTGAATTTGCGACCGCGACATCAATTCCGCTGTGTTGTTGTTTAACTAGCGGCATTTTTAGCCTTGCCACACCGCATTAATTAAATATTTCACGTACCGCAGCATTGTTGGGCTTACTTGCGGTGTCGTTTTCTTCCTCAAACAACTCCATTTTCTTTTTCTCCGCGACATTGTTTTATATTAAACACTGTCGTTTTCTCTAGCACAACGTTACCGTTGGGCTTACTCGCGGTATCGTTTTTAACTAAACAACACCGCTTGGTTCTACCCGCGACATTGCTTGTCACTAAACGATGCTGTTTTTTATCCTTCTCCGACATGGAATAAAAATAATAATTAATTAAAAAACTCCTTTTCCAACACCAATACTAAATGCGCGGCTCACATCCTAGATGCCGCTTGTCGCGTTATCGTTTTAACTCATCCGCGATGCCGCTTGTCGCGGTGCCGTTTTTAGCCAAACGACATTGTTTCCCAGTCTCGCGATGCCGCTTGTCGCGGTGCCGTTTTTAGCCAAACGACACTGTTTCCCAGTCTCGCGATGCCGTTGAGCTTTGAGGTTTGAGGCACCGTTTTATCTCTTCGCATCATTGCTTGACTCCAAACGGTGTTGTTACTCTCCTCCTCCGACAAGGAAAAATAAAATAAGAAACATTCATTGTCCAACAGCAACACATGTCCTGCGCATGATTCACACATGGTCTGCAACCAATGTCGTTTCAAGTACCGCGGTACCGCCGAGCCTCTTCGCGGTCTCGCTTAAATTATCCGTGGTATTGCTCGACTCCAAACGACATCGTTTTGGCCATGCGATATCAAATTAAATGTTGAGACTCATTATTACGGCATTGAATTTAGGCAAAAAAATATTTTAGGTGTAAACAATGCCCCCACAACTTGGTTTATAAGAATTTATGAACCAATTTGTTGACATAAAATATACTACCTAGAATTTTCTTGTCAAAAGACCTAGATGGAATTGGCCGAAGGAAAGATGTTTGCCAAGTTACCCTGCCTGATAATATTTATATCACACCAAATTTTGGCAACATGATTAAACTCAACCATGCCAACGTTGCCAGGGGAGAACAAACCTTTGGTTAAACAGGACCCAAATATTTAATATTTAAACAAACAAATCACTGCATCACGCAAGAACATCGCTGTATTGATATAGCCATGTATTGATATAAACAATGTTGTCATACCTATAAGCTGAATCTGCAACCATGTTTGTTTTTAACGGCTACGTTTTATATTTATTTATTTTTTCTTCCCCTTATCCCCTAGCTGGCCGGTAGTTAAAATCCCTGCAATGCCATGCAAGCTGGCCTGCATCGCTGCTGTAGCGACAGTGTTGTTTAGATCTCGTTAAGCTGAGATCCTATTTTTCCTCTCGCACTGCGACACGTTTTCGGCCAACACTGCTGCCAAGACCCATTACAACGCTGTGGATTTTCTTATACGTGTTACCTTCGCCAAATTTATTATTATTATTATTTAACAGCGTTGTTGCGGCCATTGTTACTGTTCTTTTTTTCTTTTTACTAATCCTTGGCCACAAACAACACTGTTTTTAACTCCCACGCCGCTGTTTGTCCCAAAACAGGTCTGTTTTTTCACTCCTCTCAACATCACCGTTTTTGCAGATTTGTTCTCTTTTATCCAGCAACGCAGCTATGGCGAATTTAAAATTGCTTATATTTTTTGCCAAAAATCCTACATTGGTGTGGATCTGAAAGTGTTGTGTCCCTCCAACATTGTTGAGAAAAGAGAAAACAATACCGCTTGCCATCTTGAACCATTAACAACAACGTTGTGGCTCCTTTCTAACAATACCGCTTAATTATATTTTTTTATAATAATAATTATTTTCTTTTGTTTATATATTTATCACATGGCCTAAATTAGCAAATTTTATTATTATAAATATAGCTAAACAAAAATATGGTTGGCTTTGGCATAAACCATCATGCCAAAGGTCCACACCCACTGCCAACTACACGGATCAAACCACACAAACCATCCATAGATACCCTGATTCACCACAGTTGGCTTTACACACGTTGGTTTTGATCTTTTGGAATCAATGTTGGCTTGCAACTCTCCAGTTCGTCTAGCGCGAACATCTTTGTTCGAAATCCCACGAGCTCGATTTGTCTTCACCTCAGCCATCACTTTTGGTCGATGGCATGAAAAATCACTAGTGTTCTTTGCTCTGGGCAAGACATTCACATTTTTTGGCATCTTCGTCTTGCCAAGTCGACCATGCTGCATTGCCTGCTCAGACTGGTCTGGTTTTGTCAGTTGTACACTCTCACAATGTTATTGGGAGCAAGGTTGTCAAACCGGTTTGTACCGTTGTGCCGGTTTGGCAAGTGGAATGGTACGACCGGTGGTATAACCAGTTTGTGTCGGTTCATGCCGGTCTAAAAAAATGTGAAAAAATTAATATCCAATGTATTTAATCATATATAAAACATATTTGTGGACAATTTAGTTACAATCCAACAAATATCATCAACTTTTAACTATTACATTCATAAAATGAATAATAAATTATTTTTTTATTCATTAAATTCATTAAAATGATG